GCAAATTCACTTATACTGGATTTTATAACAATGTTTTCACAAGACCAAATGCCACCAATTGAAAAACTTGTAAGCAATCCTGCTGAACCTTCTACTGTAAACGTCGATGGTAACATTCCACGAAGGTCATCTATTGACATCGTTGAGTCACTGTATTTAAATATTTTCTTAAAGCAATCGTCATTATCTAACCATGCAATAGCTTTGAAGTTTTCATTCGAATATACATCTGCTTCATTAAATGTAAAACCTGACTTCTTTGCAGAGACGACTTTAAAATCTATTGAGTTTGTTTCAAAATTATATGCTATGGTAACTTCTGAAGGTAATGGATGCCCTTCCGCAGTCAGTTGTTCTCTCACTACCGTTTGAAGCTTTGTATTAAAAACTTTCATGTCATCTCCTGTATCTAAGTTCACATACACAGCAACAGGGAAACTATCTTGCTTCTTTGTTTCATCATTATATCTCAAAACATTAAAGTTCTTCAATAATATTGTTCTTCCTGCTGGAATACTTCGAACCTGTCTGATTTCAATAGCTTTCTCACCTCCTACATACTCTACCCAGTGTCTTGGATATTCATAAGTATACTGACTTTCTTGAATTTTGGTTGGTTTCATCATAACATGTTCATAGTATATCTTTATACTCTTGTCAGTTAGACTCGGTGCTATGTTCTGAATATTTCTGACTTGCATTTTTAATGGAGATAAAATGAAGCATTTAATACATGACATAGATGAAGACATGAATGAAAGCAGTGAAAAGCTCAACAGTTTCTCTTATTCTTCCTTTCAGCAAAATTATGAGTTCTGTTCAAATGGTGTTTATTTCTATTGTGGAAAGATGGGTTCAGGTAAGACATTTAACCTCATTCGTCATATACTCATAACAGAGCGTTTAGGAAACGACTCTTACTATGACCAAATCATTATATCAGCAACTTCAGACTCTATGGACTCAACAGCGAAAACATTTATGTCAAAAGTTCAAGCCTCTGTCGTTAAAGTTCCAGACAGTGAACTCATTGAATTTCTTCAACGTTACATTCGACGTAAGAGGAAATATTATGCCATCGTTGAATTTATACAGTCAGGAATGCAATAAACTTCTGAGGAGATGGAAAGAATTATTGACAAACACCACTTACGTCAATACTCAGGAGTTTACGATATGAAACGACTTACAAACTACATTCTGTCAAAACTTTCAAAATACCCCTTCAAAAAATATCCATCAAACACTTTATTAGTTTGTGATGATTTCGCTGGTAAAGGTTTAGTGTCAAAACCAGACTCACCATTAGCTAACATCATTACTAAAGTCAGACATTACCACTTAACTGTAGCAATACTTATGCAAACATGGAGGTTTTTAGCTTTAAACATAAAACGTCTCATAACTGACTTCGTTATCTTTCAAGGTTTCTCACGTTATGATATTGAACTCATTTGGAAACAGTCAGGTATAACATTACCTTTTGAAGAAATTTGGGAAGCATATAAGTCTCTCATCTCTCCTCGTTCATACCTTGAGATTCATATCATGACTAATACCATTAAAGTCAAAAATATTCCATGGGAACGACCAACATTGTTTTAAAGTTTAACCTTCAATTGACTGATGGTAAACAAATTCCATGCATCTCTGTCGCCATTTCTGTTAATATTTTTGCTGTCATTCATATCATCCACTTCCCATCCGTTAGCTTTTGAGGATATGCGTTAGAATAGCTGTTCTTAATGAAGGCTTTTCACCTTTGAGAGCATAAACTCTATAACTTTCTGCATACTTTATGTTTGAACCTCCTGAGCCATCATTGACATAAATTTTTATAGGCTTCCACCCTTTGTTCATGTTCCTGCTTCTTCCCTTAGCTCTTTTGTTCAGTAGTTCTACATCTTTATACACAGCTCCTGTCTCAGTGAATTCAACAATATTTTTATTCGTTAGCTTTACATTCAAACCCTTGTCGAGTATATTGTTCATTTCATACATATAAAAGGTTTTTATTCTATATGAAATGAGAAGCAAATCCATCTTAGCTGGTGCCGTTAATGTTCCAATTGAACCAACATCAAATGTTGACTCACGAACGACAAACAATATTGTCATAAAGAACTATAGTTCAGAGTGTTTGAAAGAAAAAGAACCAGAACTTAAGTCGGTGAATTTAAACACAGCTTCAAACGCTAACGCTACATCAGATGTTGAGTTAGAGTATCCACCACTGGACCAAATTCTTTCAAGAGAAGCCAACGACAACCCTTACACAAATGTTCAAACAAATCCTTCAGATAACGTAGACCATTACCTTCTTCAGTTATACCAAACTATCTTACTCAAAGACGATAAGAAGCTTTTGGTAAATCTTATAAGCAAGAACCAAATAATTCTAACAAAGGAGGATTTAGAAAATGTTATATCACGAATAACAGGAAAGCAATGTGTCATTGACTATCTCGACCCTGAAATCGAATGCTGTGGTCAAACTCCACTATTCATGAAAATAGGTAACATCCGCATCATTGAAACACCAGGTACTCCAGGAGTTGAGTTTAAGTATAAATATTCGAACGAGTATACAAAACTATCTACTGACTATAAGCTTTGTTTGAAATATGTTTTAGTAAATTAAAGCAGTCAGGACCTTCGGTCTTGGCGCTTTGCGCCGTCAGTCAAAAAATTTCAAGTTAGCAATTTGTAATATTAATCCAAAACTTCTTCAACAGTATCGAACTCATCTTCATAATGCAAACCTAATCTTATTGACTTGGTGCAGTTTTCACTAACACAATATTTTTCTGTTCTCTTAACTGACATAACTAACTCATTTGTTTCATCAAACAGCAACAACCAAAGTTCATGACCTAATACATAACATTCATACTTTATATTTTTAGCTCTGAGTTCTCTTGTAAGCTGTTGCATTTAATATTTTCTAAAAAGTCAACTTCAACAGTCATTCGCACTGGTGCCTTCAGTTCTACAGGCTCTCCTTGAAAGTCAACAAGTCTGAATTGCATGTCTTTCAAATTATGAGGACTAATGCGAACCCATTTACCTAAATGAGTTGCTATGACAGGAACGTTTGGAATGAACATTGAATTGACTGCATAACAGAAAGACTTATATTCTACTGAACCTTTACTATTAACTCCTGAAATACCTGTGACATTAGCTATTTTTGACTCAATGTACAAACAGTTGCCATAACATACATATGGAACAGATTTCATCTCAATCGTTTTGTCAACACTTTTCAAAGGAAATGTCATATGGTATGCTCCCAGAAGCAATTGAACTCTATGACTTATTCTTGGTATCTTAAACTCCTTCTCGCTGCTGAACTTCAATGTTCCCTCAGAAGAGAGTTCGACATCTATGTTGTCAATAGTTTCTTCATTTATGAGAGCATTTAACACTCCAGCAATTTTATCTATTCTATACCCAGCTCTGTTAGGAAATGTTATAACACTTCTTTTGTCATCTATTTCAATCTCTATGAAATCTGTTTCATCTGTTATGACAAAAGTTGCGATAGTATTGAAGTCAACAACTCTGAAAGCAAGTGCTTCATTCTGAAGACCTAAGTTTGTTTGTAGTTTTACTATTCCGTATTCGTTTGGGTCTGTACTTTGTAAATAGAACAACATTTTATTCTCATTAAAATATGACTATTGCTGCATATGCGTATGAAACAAATGAAGCAAGAAGAGCACATGAACTAGTAAACGAAAACTCAACTTTAACAGTGGAAGGCAATGATTTAGTCATTGACGATGGAAAAACTAAAAAAGTCATTGATTTCGATACTTTTAACACTTATGACCCATTCATTACAACAAGCAAGGTTCCCATCATAAATGATGGAACGGTGCAATATATAAATTCTACAGTAGATGCCTCATTAGTGAAAGTATTAAATGTTCTCATTGAATTGTTAAAGAGCTTTCGATTTGACGACAACATTAAATGCCTAAAGAATTTAGTCATGAATGAGAAACAAATTCTCGGCGTTGCTGGTAGCAGTAATAATGTACACCTTATGACATTAGAATATTATAACGAACATAAAGATGAACTGAAAGGAGAGAAGGGTGACACTGGAGCTCAAGGACCACAAGGAACAAGGAATACAAGGAATACAAGGACCTCAAGGCGAAAACGGTTTGGATGGTGAAGATGGAAAGGATGGAAAAACTGCTAAATCATGGATATGGAACCTTATAAATACTGGTTTAACAGCTGCTTCATATGGAGTTCTTCAATACCAAATCGGAAAGATATGGGCAGTACTTGGTGAAGAAGTTTTAGATGACGTTAAAAATGCTTTGAACTTCATTTCAAATGGTTCGGATACTATTAAAACCTTATCTGGTTGGATGCAAGAAACAAGGAGTCAAATAGATACTGTAAGACGTATAGCAAACAATGCACGTACGGGATTGGATACTTTACGAGAAGCACAAAATACACTAAAGGAAGCAAATGATATTTTTGGCTCAGTATCAGACATGCATGAAGATTGGCTTAAAGGTATTGACAAATCTTTAAAAAATCACAGTCAGTCTATTGCTGACTACAAGAAAAGTATAGATTTTTTACATAGTGCTATGGACGTACATGATGGAAGCATAAGGAACTTACTTAATGCTAACAATAACTTACCAGGAACTATTAAAGCATTTATAAAGTCCTTTGTAAAACCTGGTGCTCTAACATTTAGGTCTTTGAGAGCAAGAGCATTGAAGTCAAGAGATGCAGAAACTCCAACAGAACCTACAGAAGGAACTGAAACAACAGAAACTCCAGAAGAACCACCAAAACCAACAGCTAATGAAATATTGTTCGAATATTTTCCAAGGTACTCTGTTTTCATTGCATACATTCAAGAAATACTTAAGAAAGCAGACTTGACTTTAGGAGATGATGAAAGTTCTGTATATCTTTCGTTCCAGTTTCAAATAGCAGAACTTTTGAGACAGATATGCTTAATGTATGACAACATCTCTGATTTCACAAGATATGATGACGACCATGACCCCGAACACGGTGAAGAAGAAGTTTTACAAACATCCATTAAGACAGGAAAGGTTTTAACTCAAAGTCTCATTATTGACATCAAAGATGGCGAAGTGGACGTTCTTCAAGAGCTGAAGAAAAATACTTCTTCGGGAGGTGGAGGTAGGCATGAACTTGAAATAAATGAGATAGAAGAGAAATTAGCCGAAAAAGCAGATAAAAAACATGTTCATTATATAAGTTCAGACGAACAGATTATAACGGACTACCACGGATATTTAACACAGGATGAAGAAGTGAAGACGAAAGATGTTAATGAAAGAAGATATAAATACATTCGTGCTAAAGGTTATGACATACGTTGTACTGTACAGTATGACACAGGTAAAGCACAAGAAGCATTTGGTTATAATGATGAAATTTATGCCTCTAGTTTCTTTGTTAACGGTGTATTAGTTGAACCAAGATTTACTTTGAGAGTTAAGGCAAAAATAACTTTTGAAGATGCTATTAAAAGTAAAGCTGACAAAGATGAACTTGACGCAACGAACAAAGTTTTGAAATCTCATAAACACAATATCTCCGATATAAATGAACTTCAAGCTACATTAAATAGTAAAGCTGACAAGAACCATACACATAAATCCTTCACTACTGTTAGAGCAGACGACATAATATTGAACTATGATTTGGGTTCAAGTGCACCTTTAGAGAATCCGAGTACAAGCGTAAAAGATACTCTTAACAATTTAGATAACAGTTGCAGGAATATCGAAGGTCATGCCAGAAACTTTGAAGCATATGAACTACCAGCAATGTTAGATAAGAAAGCCGACAAAACTTATGTAGATGAAAATTATGCAAAGAAGTCGGAAGTAAATGCTGCGCTTAATGGAAAAGCCGACAAGAACCATACACATGAAGAATTTCAAACAATCAAGATTAAAGAAATTAAGGCATGCATCGAAATAGTAACAAAAACGGGAAGAAACGGTGCAACTGTACAAGAACAAAGAATTTATCCTCCTACTTTTCCTAATGGTTTAATAACAAACAATATAAATATTGAAGATGGCAATAAAGTTATAAACGTTAAACATGAACTTCTAACAATGAAGGCCCAGATTCTTCAAACCATATATCCTGTTGGTTCTATTTATACGTCAATGAATTCAACAAATCCAGAAACAGTTTTAGGTTTTGGTACGTGGAAGCAGATTGTAGATAAATTCTTATACTGTGCTAGATATTCAAAGCAAACAGGAGGTTCGAAGAAAATTAAAGAAGCAAACTTACCCCCACACACTCATACAGGAACGACAAACTTTTCTGGCGACCATAGCCACTCATTAAGAGACCACCCATTATACAACTCAGACTATGAAGCTGGCAATGACGTTTTATCTCCATCTTATAACAATTCAGCAAAAAAGACTTTTCGACCAACTGAACCAGGAGGAAATCATGTCCATACTTTCACAACAAATCCAACAGGCTCGGGTGCAGATTATATGCCACCATTTGTGACTGTATTCGCATGGTACCGCGTTCATTGAACGCGCTTGAGCCTAGACCCTTTGGGTCAAGGCTTACCGTCTTGAATAAAATCTTTAACTTTACATAAATGAGCTTGAAAGAAGTATTCGAACAACATCCATGGAGGTCATTTAAGAAGTTCAATGAAGCTGCAAAGAGTTGGGGATTTACTAACAGAGCTGAAGTGAAAAGGTTCTTTGACAAAAATGTTGTACATCAAACAAAAATAAACCCTTACGACTACTTTTTACCAATTTACTCCAACGCTCCTGACGCATACCAATTTGACACTCTCATTCAAAGCAGAAAAGGAGGACATAAACCATTCCTCATCTTCATTAATGTTAACACTCGCAAAGCATATGCATATCCAATGAAAAATAAAGGAACTCATGAAGTTTTAAGAGTTTTACAAAAGTTTGTAGCAGAACATCATCCCACTTCATTAACATCAGACCAAGACGGTGCATACCTCAGTAATGAAATCACCGAATTTCTCATTAAGCATAACATAACTCACTACACTACTGAAGACCATAACCATAACATACTCGGCATCATAAACCGCTTCATAAGAACGCTCAGAGATTTAAATCAAGAGCGAGACTTTACCGAAAAAACAATGAAACATTTTCTCGAAGTATATAATTCCTCAACACACTCTACAACAGGACATACACCAAATTCAATGACACAACAACAAGAAGAAAAGTATATACAAAAGAAACGAAGTCAAACACAAAATATCAGAAATTCAACATAATTTACCCTCATTCCTGGTACAAAAGTTCGTGTAGTTCTTGACGACAAACCGTTGACAAAGAAACGTTTAAGGTTAAGTCGAAATTATTATATCGTAGACTCTACGCAAGGTAATGGATATCTTATAAAAGCTGCCGACGACTCTATTGCGTTTTATCCTCGTCATAAATTAGTCGAAAGTAGTAATGGCAAACTTGCTGAAACCATTGACGAAGCAAAGCGAGGAGTGGTTATTGAAATACTTGGCTATAACAAACGATGACACTTATAAAGTAAGATATGAAGGAGGCGTTGAAGATGTTATACCATCTAAGAACTTGAGAGAGTCGAAGCCAACACATCTGGGACCATTAGAGCGGGAGTACTGGAAAGACAAAAATAAGCCAGAAAGAATAAGAAAATTCTTCTAAACTTTTTCATTTTGTTGCTGAAAAATGACCAAATTTCATGAATTTTCATAAAAGATAAAAATAAAGTTAGTTTTATTTTTATTTATTTTTTTTATCTCATATGTAAAGACAGTAATGACAAACATTGAGTTTGAAACAGTTAGAAAGATTGACAATGACACCAAAGTGGTTAGAATTGGTGATTTAAACGTAAGATACTGTAAGAAATACAACAAATATTCTTTGTCAGACATTATAACACCATCTGGAAAGAAAACAAAGGACTGGGTTAGAATTGCTTCTACTCAGAAAATTTTGACAAGAAATCCTGAGCTTATGATATCAGTAAGATTCTATGGAACTACAGCATATCTCATTGACAAAAGTCTTATACCAATAATTCTTCTATGGATTGACCCAGTTGTTGGATATAACTTCATAACATATGGTTCATTCGATACGGAACGTTGCAGTGAAGGCTTACTTTACATCGTTCAGAAACCGAAGGACTTCAATACAAAGAGATATAAGATAGGAAGAACATATAATATAACTCAAAGATATGACAGTACAGTCAATAGAGTCAAGGTTGTGTTTGTTAATGATATGAGAGCTGCAGAAACAGAACTACTCGAAAAGTTTGAGAAAATGTATGGTGCTCCCATGAAAGGTAAAGAAACGTTTGAAGTAGATGAGATAGATAAAGCTATAAAATTATTTGACGAAGTTGCTGAAAAATACATGTAAAGCGTTTATTTTTGGTCTTTTGTGAAAGTCAGAAAATAACACTAATTTTTTCTAACAAAAAAATTTTATCTCGTATGTAAAGACAGTAATGTCAACATCAGAGAACACAACAACTGCTATCGTTCATGAAGCCATCAATGAAGAATATGAATACATACAGTATAACAAACAATTGAGACTCATTCGTTCAGTCAAAGATGACATGTACCAAATGCAGAGTATTTTGACAGCATGTTTTGCTCCAGAGAATAAAACACCAAATGAATGGTTTGAATTAAATAGCACTCATGAACTCCTCAGTGAGTTTGAACATGTAGAACTTAAAAAGATGTACCAAGACAGACAAAACTTACCATCACATCTAAAAGGTATATATGTTCATAAGTTCCTAGTTAGTTCAATAGCAATGTGGGCTTGGCCCCGTTATGCAATCTACATACTTATGCTACTTGACGAACTTTGTACAAAGCAGAGAGAAGATATGATGAAAGAAGACAAAAGCATACAGAAAAGAATACCACGTTCGGTACCAAAAGGAAAGGAGAAGAGCTATAAGTATATGATTTACACTGAAGAGTTGGAGAAAGAAGAAGATAAAGATATGGTTATGTTACATTTAGTCAGAAGAAACAACAAGAGCTTTTATGACCTCGCTAAAATATATAAATCTGACAGAAACCGGTTCTATCGTGAAAACTTACCGATTTCAATGACACCGAATGAGCAAATAAAGGAAATTGTCAAAAATACTCTTCCTCAAACACACTATGACATCAAAGGTTGCACAATACTTACATTCAAAGAAGACTTAACATTACTGAAGGAAAAAATAACAGAATATTTCGACAACTTCAAAGAGGAAGAATGAAAAAAAATCTCGTCGGGTGCCACGTTAGGACCATAGTGGAGAAAACCATGGTAAAAACAAAACCCTTCGTCAAGTTTATTTTGTTTTTACCATTTAATTGTTTCCATAAACGCTCCATGTCGAACATAATTGACGAAGAGAGAATCGTCTGATTGTCAAGTTTATTTTGTTTTTACCATTTAATTGTTTCCATAAACGCTCCATGTCGAACATAATTGACGAAGAGAGAATCGTCTGATTGTCAAGTTTATTTTGTTTTTACCATTTAATTGTTGTAAAATATCCATATGAAGACTAACCAAAAATAAATTTTCTTATAAAGCTTCAGGGTCAATTTCTTCAACCATTTCACTTCCTTCGTCAATGTCAATAGAAGCTTCTTCAACCTTTGGTAAGAATTTCTGTATAACATCTTTGTTCGTTATTGTCTTCAGAGGTGAAGGATAATATTTCACAGATGTTTCACCCTTCTTATATTCTTTCTGTTCGGAAAGATTTCAAGCAATACTGAAGAAGTCAATGTTAGAGTTCTTTATGACAGTATAATGAGTATCTTTGACATTCACGAAGAAACTCTTTTGTTTCAAAACTACTGCTAACTCTTGTGAAGTATAACGTTTGCGGTCAATGACGATAGCTAATGGTCTGACATACTGACCAAACTTAGATTCTTTCACAAACTTCTTGTTAAAGATAACATTAACATTTGAAGCATTATTGAACTCATTCTTGATGGCAGTAGCGAGAGCATTGTATGAAAAGAACTTGCAATCTTGCATGTGTTTCATTAAAATAAAAATATTAAATTATTTTGAAAAATAACTTAAAAAAATCTAATCTAATTTTTTCAAAAAATATTTTTTTATTTCCTACTAAAGATGTATCGGAAGTTGTCTAAGTTAGAACACTCGGAAATAAAACAACTTCTTACAGAAGCTAATATAGATGTTGCAAAGCATTACGCACAAACAAAAAAGCACTCGCTGACATCCTCAATGACTATAATGGTGCAATAAGTTATGATAGAATTCATGAGTTCATAAAGCCGCAACGCGGCGAGGACGAAGTCCATGCAAGAGCATTTCCTTTAAATGACGTTGCTATTGACTTATATCATAGACGTTCAGTACCTCATGAAGTAAGAAGAGAAATGTTTGACATAACAAATGCAAACGTTGGTGAAACAAGAAGAAGAGACGACACACTGAAACAACAGAGAAGAGAGATGTTTAAGAGCGCTATAGAACAAGTTCGCAAAGCTAACGATGTCATTCGTTCCATTGACGACAAACCAAAAGAAGGTGAGAGATGGTTAAAGAAAGATGAAGAGAATAGGAAGAGGAATGTTAAGACAGGCAATAGACTCATTGACTTTAACATCGAAGCTTTAGATGAACCAAACAGAGACTACTTACACAAACATTTCGGTAAGGTTTTCATGAGACTCTTAGAGAAGATTAAAATAAACTCCCAACAAAGATGGATGGTATGTTATAAACTTGGTGGAAAGTATGAATGTTCTACGTTAAACCTCAATAATATTGGAACATTACTACATCAGCTCTTGAAGGAGAACTTTATATCAGAGATAGAAGCAAATGCTGCAGGTATTGTTGAAATGCACTATGACTTCTTCTTGACAAACATAAAGAATCTTACGAAATAAAGATGTATGATTTAACAGAATATGAAGGCTTAACGATGTCAGATGTAAAGAAAGGAAAGCCAAAAAAGAGACCATATAGAGATGAAAGCACACTGACAAATGACCAGAAAGCCATTTTGGAAGCTCTTAAGCAAACAGGAAACCCAGCACTTATAGAAAGTTTTTGGAAAGATAATGGTGAAAAGAAGTTTTATAAGAAGAGAAGCGGTCAGTTCTGGAAGTATCTTTGCAGATTACCTATAAATCTTGAACGCTATCAAATTTTCAATGAACTGAACAAAAGAACTGCAACACTTATGACAGAAGATAACTGCTTCGTTTATGCTTGCATTCAGGCTGGAGTAAATGAAGAAACTATTGACCACATGAGAGAAGTCATTCGTGTTAGAGACTTTCCTCAAAGTAAAGTACAAGAAATTTCTGACGCAACAGGTATAGCATTTAATGTTACCATTGGTTACTTCAATGACTCAAGACATAATGAAATAAAGAGATACATACCAAAAGAATGTGAAACTGTTCGAACTATTGACTTACTTCTTGTTGAAGACCATTACATGCTAAATGAAAGATTACCAATGACAACATATTTTCATTAAATTATAAAGAAATCTGAAAGTGTGGTGGAATGAACATTGAGAAACAGATGAAGATTTATACAAAGAGAGAGAACAAATATGTAGTTCGTTATGATAGAACAACACCGTTATGGGATGTTATGAAAACATTGTGGGGGTGCAAATATTTTGAACCTATTTCTTATGGAGAACTTTTCACATATACGACTGACTTATATAAACAGAACCTTGCACCATTTAAAGATTTGACATATGCTCCAAAGTATTGTGTACAACTGAAGAAGAAAGCCGAGTCAAAAGAAGTAAATAAAGCTAAATGTAAGTTCATTCCTGAGCACGTTTTCTTTGCTGACTTTGAATGTAGCACTGATGGAGTTCATAAAGCCTTTAACATTTGTTATGACGGTGAAGATGGTTCTGTGAGTGAAAGCATTTGGGGTCAGAACTGTGCAACAGAATTTTTGGAACGACTTCCTGACAAGAGTTTAATATATTTCCATAACCTCAGTTATGATATAAACTTCATCTTAAGACACATGACAGAAGTGAAAGGAACACCCATCATTAAAGGTTCACGAACAATGCAAATAACTGGCTTATATAAAGGAAGGGCAATTATTATAAAAGACTCATACACTGTTATAAATAAGAAGCTTAAACTATTTCCTGTTATGTTTAACTTACAAACAGGACCGAAAGAAGTATTTCCATACAACTACTACAGCAGTGTTTTGTTAGCAAATGACAACAGAACTGGTGTCATTTCTGAAGCGTGTAAGTTTATCCAGGATGCGGATACGTTCATGAAAAACATAGATTCCATCAAAGGTTGCAGAATAGATGAAAACCACTTCGACTTAGAAAAGTATAGCATATTTTATTGCAAACAAGATGTAAGAATTTTAAGAGAAGGTTTTGTTAAGTTCCGCAATGACATATTGAAAGAATTTGATTTAAACGTTTATGACTACGTTAGTATTTGTTCAATTGCTAACAAATTGTTTGAGAACAGAGTGTACTTCCCGAATGGAAATTTATATGACCTCTCAAATAAACCAAGAGAATTTATTTCACGCTGTATTCAAGGTGGAAGATGTATGCTGTCAGATAACATGAAACAAAAGAGCGAAAAGAAACTCATTGCTGATTTCGACGCTGTTTCATTATATCCATCAGCTATAGCAAGACTTTATACTTTAGAAGGAATTCCAAAGGTTATGAAGAAAGAAATGTTAAGCACAGAGTATCTCATGAGACATTTATTTGATGACGACCAAAAGGAACCCATTGGTGAAAAGTTTATGTCTGGCTTCTTTGTTCTCATTAAGATAAAAGAGATTGGCATACATAGACACTTTCCTTTAATAGTTTGTGACCCTGAACTAAAGCCAGAACTTAACGTTCCCAGAAGTTCAAACACTTGCTGTTTAATGTATGTTGACCATATAACATTACAAGACCTCATAAAATATCAAGGTGTCAAATGTGAAGTGTTGCAAGGATACTATTACGATGGAAACAGAGATATTAGAATAAGAGATGAAGTAAAGAAGTTGTTTGAGTTAAGGTTAAAGTATAAGAAAGAAGGAAATCCTTTGCAAGAAAATATAAAGCTCATTCTGAACAGTATTTATGGCAAAACTATTCTTTCTCCTATTGAGTCAAAAATAACCATAGTAAATGACAAAGATGCTATAAGATATGCCATCAGAAACTACAACCATATAGTGAAGTTCGATGGTTTGGATGGTTCGGATAAAACTATTTTCAAGCTAACGAAAAGCATTTGCAGACACTTTAACTTCTGTCCACTTGGTGTTAATATCTTATCTATGTCGAAGAGAATAATGTGTGAAGTATTCTGAACTGCTGAAGATATGGGACTTCAAATCTTCTACCAGGACTGTGATAGCATGCATATTTTCAATGAAGACATACCAAAGCTTGCAGCAGAATTTAAGAAGAGATACGGTAGAGAACTTATAGGAAAGAACCTTGGTCAATTTCATTCTGACTTCGCAGAAATAACACCTGGAAAACAAAGTTTAGCATACAAGTCAATATTTTGTGGAAAGAAGACCTACATAGACTTACTCACGAATGATTTAAATGAAGTTGCATTTCATGCACGTTGCAAAGGTGTCAAACAAGACGTCCTTGCTTTAACAGCTAATGAAATGTTTCCTGAAGCTATACAATGCTATTACAATGAAGATAAGAACATTCACATACCTGTTGGAACATATGACAAAGACTCTGAGTTCAGTTTAATGAAACTTTACAAAGCACTTCATGATGGTCAAGAGATTGGATTTGACTTATGTAAGTCTTCTAGTCCTTGCTTTGCTGAAAAGTTTAACTTCTCAATAACGACTAAAACAAGCTTTATTCGTAAGTTGAAGTTCTGAGGTCATTTATTTTTGTCAGCAATGAGGTCATTCGTGATAAAAATAAAACTAGCGTAGATTTTACAATACTGCGATGGTAGAGTTTAAGAGTTGTGCTTCAATGTAGAGACAGTCCTTATGGTCTGGAGGTAAGAACACTGGGCAGTTATGGTCATGAGTGGAGAACATGTCTATCCAAAACTCACGATTGAAGCCAGTTAATTTATAGTATTTAGGGTTAGGAAGTGGTGAAGTTCTTGTATGACCAATGAACTCATTTTCAACTCCCTTACTTAAGTTTGAATATAATATAGCTTGCTTTCTATCCCAAATACCTGGAAATCTAATTTCGGAAAATTCATTTTTCCTCGGAAGCATTGCATCATAATTGAAAACATTCTTGAAATCATCACTTGGTTCAGAGATTTGAAATCTTATACGTAATGGATTTTTTTTCTCTTTAGCGACTTCATTGAATGGTGAGAATACAATGAATTGACAGTCATGAGTTCCATCTTCATTTGGTACAAACTCGTAATGAAAAGCTATTAATCTTTCTACAATTCCTTCTTCTTTCAGTTGTGCAAGAAACTCACGTAAAGGCTGTAAAGTTTGTACTTCAATGTTAAACTTCTTTTGAAAATTTTCGTAAAATGTAATTATACAGTCTTCTAACGTCGTACTGTTTTTAAAGTATTTGTATATGTGAATGTTTTGGGCGTTTAAAGACTGTTCGTCATTTTCTATCTCGACTTGAAGTATAAAGTCAACCTTTCTGAAAGCACGTGTTATATACATATTTGTTATGCTAATGTACTTCTCTTCATTTATGTTCACAATCCAGTCTGTTGGAAACTTAAACGTTACTCTGTTCCCCTTTATTTTGACGTCAGGGTTTTCACTACTGAACGCAACAGATAAAGGTATTTGTCTATACATTTAATTCGGATAAAAATAAACCATTTACTCTTTCTTTGCTTCAGCTTCTTTAGCTTTTGCTTCAGCTTCTTCTCTAGCTTTTTTCGCCAGTAGTCTTGGGTTCTTCTGTCTTCCAGCAGCTAATGCAGCAAGTTGTTTTTCACTAAGTTTTCTCTTTGGTCTCTCTGGCTTTTGTTCTTGTTTTTGTTCCTTCAGTTCGGATAAAATTTGCTCACGAATTTCTTTCTTCAATGCTTCAACATCTATGACCCCTTGGGTCTTGTCCGTAGGGCTTGTCTGAGTCATTTGACTGCAGATAAAAACAAAATTAAAACTTTAACCGATGTAAAATGAGCTTGTCAAAATCAGAGCGAAAGGATGTTGTATTAAATGACGCAAGAGGAATACAACATCCTTTCTATTACGTAAGTCAGAGTAAAGATGGTAAAATATACGTAAGAAAAAGAAAGGTTCCATTAGCGAATGCAGAAAGCGACAACATTAAGGTGTATGGCAAGGGTGAAGTCCACGAAGCCCATGTTAAGCCTTCTATTCAAACTGAAAAGTCAATAGAACCAGAAGAAAAGAAGCCAGATGTACTTTCAATAACGAACCAAGAGCTTATTGCAAAGTTCGTGAATTTCATTGAAAAACAAACCGAGTCAAAGAATCCTGACCCGCCAGTGAAAGAAGTTGAGACAAAAGAGAATGTACAGTTCATTGAAAATGACAAGAAACAACTTCCACCACGAATGCCAAGAAGAAGAGTGAGAATAATGAAGTAAATAGATATTTTTATCTGAAGTAAATACATGCAGAACGAACAGTTAAACGAATTTACTCCAGCAGAGCATATTCATCAGATTCGCTCATATTTCGATATCATAGACAATGCAGTTCAAATTGGTGACACTAATAGAAAATATTCTGACGCAAAGATTCCATCACAACCTGGAACTGCTAAAGATAACACATGGGTAACATTCAATCTCTCACCTCCTGGTGAAAATATGTTGGACCTTTACAATACATTCATTACGTATAAAATGGAAGGTCAATTTATTGTAGATAAAGAAATTGGTTCAGGTTCCAATAAAACAAACCCACCAGGATTTTGGATTGGTTTCGATGACGCTTTCTATGCAGTTGCTGGATATCAAATCCTTGCAAATGGTCGTATCGTATATTCTCAAGACAACGCAAGAGAAGAAGCATATATAACTTCAAACTCACAAACTACCGAACAAATAAAGAAAGTAGATGTTTTCTCAAAGACTCGACATGAAGATGTATGGAGTCATTCGGGAACATGCAGAACAGGACAAATTGTTAGTGGTCCAATTACAGCAGGAAAATCATTTGATTTTAAGCTTCGTTTAAGAATTCCTCTTAGAAGATTCCTTCCATTAGAAGCTATTCGATTTATTCCAGCTTTTGCAGGAAACATTCAGCTTAAAGTAAAGTTCAGTAGCGACGCCTTACAATGCACATCTATATCTGTAAATGATATCATTGCTTTCAATCCAACTCTTAAAGTTGCATTTGCTTCAGATTCAAATCCACCGACAAATAAATTTGTTCCATGGAATGAACCATTCACTATGATAACGAAGGCAGTAGAAGCTAGTGGAACAGTTACTATTACAACTGTAACCCAGCAACTATTTCGAACAAAGATGGATTTTAATGAATGTTTCATTCATCCAAAGTCATTCTCTTTAGACCCTAACATTTATACAGAACTTGTAGAACATTATACAAACGAGGCTTTATGTTTTCCTGTTAAAGTTATGGATTGGATTCCTATGGACGGTTCATTCTCAAAGAATACAGATAGTTCAAGTGCAACATTTACAGCAGCTTATACGCCTATTAATGTTAAAAGTATTTGGGCACTATTTAGAAAGAAAGACAACTATTATGTTAATTTTGAGAACCCTAAGTTTAAATATCTTCAGCTTTCCATGGGAGCTTATGGAAATATGCCTGCAGAACCTGAAAATCATATGGACCTGTATTTTATGAAATGGTTGCGAACGCCTGCAATACAAACAATGATATGATAGGATTTAATGAAGATGTTATGAGGTCATTGGTGGATGATGGTAGTGTGGAACATAAATGGGATAGCTATGACAACACACATTTCTTATGTGGTTTTCCAACAGAAGTGGACTTTTGCTTCCAGCAAGGTCAAACATCTACTGCTCCAATAACATACAAATTGTCTGTTAAAGGACCTATTGAACTAGCAACTGAAAATGTACCAAAGCCACTTATTGGATTTATGAGGGATTGTTGCTTTGCCATTCAGGTGCGTGCTAATGGCATCCCCATAATAAGATTAGATGACTATAACTTAGCTGCGGACGACAGTGAGGAATAAAGGATGAACGTTTATTTTAAAGCTTATAAATGAGTTCTTCATCAAGCTCTCGTGAACCTTCACCATCTATGAAACAAACTTTACCAAACGATTATGGAGCACCTATTGAATATTTCTTACGAGCTGCACAATGGCAAAGAGCAGTCTCACCAAGGTTAGGTGTTCCACCAGCTCCTGTCAAAAATAGCATTTGGTCAAGTCCTTATATAAGATATGGTCTCCCACTAGGTTTGCTAGCTACAGCAGGAGCAGTTATGATGTTGAAAAGCAATAAAGCAAATGTTGTAAATAATACTGAAGTAGCTGAAGTTAAACAAACTCCAACACCTTCGCCAAAACCAACGTCAAAACCAACGCCTTCACAAGCAAAACCTTCAATGACTCCTGAACCTATGGAAGTACAAACTCCTGTTCAAAAGTCAACTCCTAAACCGACTCCAACATTTAAACCAGAACCTACTCCTCAAATAAATCGTAAAACTCCTGCGTTTCCTTACTGAAAAAATAACGTTATTTTTATTTAATATTAAAATTTTTATTTGATTGAAATGACGACTAAAGTCACTGAAGCAATGAAACAAAAGTTTTTGGTAGAATACATTAAATCAGGAACTATTCCAGAAGGTTTTTACATTCATACTATGAAGGATGGTAGAGTTCAGTTTAGAAAGATAAAGCAACCATTAGATAAAGAAGGAATTTTGAGAAAGATTAAACTTCATGAGGACAACATTGCTGAACTTAAGAAGAAGTTAGAAGAGTTGGAGAAAGGAAGAGAGTTATAAAGCAATGAATTCAACAGGGTAGAAAAGAGGTTAGAAATCGGGTTAGATCTAACCATCTACCCTAAGTTTATTTTTGTGCTATGTTTTCATACGTGTGAGGGTGGTGATATCATTAATTTTTATATAAATGACGAAAACTATTGAGATAACAAACTACAACGGTCATGAGTTCAAGAATTTGTTCTTCGTTCCTCGTGAAAATACATTCTATCAGATACGAGGGAGAAAGGGTAAAGTTAGTTTGAGCGTTTATGACTACAAGCATAATGGAAAGTTTATACAAGCATACGATACAAACGGTAAGCGTGTTTCATTAGCTTTGTCAAAACTTACTAACATTTATTTTGACAGTGACTTTGACTCTGACGATTGGAGCGACAGCAGCGATACTGAAGAATATGAAGTATTGTGTGAAGCACAGCAATGGGAGGAGTTGCAATACTTTTGTAAGTGAGAACATTAGTGGGAACGTTAGTGAGAACGTTTATTTTTTCATTAGTGAAGTCGTTAGCGAAAATGTTAGTGAGGTGAAGTGGTTGGCGGCTTTGTAAATATTTAAGGTTAAGTTAGTGTTGTCGTTTGTGTTGCAAAATATACGTTAACGGTTTTGTAAAGTATCAAATTCATATATCAAGGGTAAGGTGGAACGCAGTGCCTCCGTACCCTTGATATGTATACTAACTCAGATGTTCATTATTTTAGGGGTGTTCGTGGCCAGTATATTTATGGCATAATCGATGATTTTAGCCGCAAAGTCCTAGCGTGTATACAAATACCAGATATGCTGGCAGCGACGACAGCGAACGTTGCGGCTTCCGCCTTCATTGAATTTGGCGCCCCTTATTATTTCTGGACCGACAACGGTTCAGAAAATAGGGGCGCCTTTCAAGATCTACTTGATCTTTGGGGCGTCCAATGGCGGCATACAGACTCTCATTCTCCCTACCAAAATGGGAAGATTGAGAGATTCTGGCCGACATTGGAGCGCTGCCAAAGCACTCAGGCTATTCCTGCCTTTATTTGGGAGTACAATAATAACACACCGCATGAAGATCTCCCAATTAATCCATTAACTGGAACAAATTACACGCCAAATCAAATGTATCAGCTGAAACCGAAATACACAAATGCAGATACAGAAAGGTTGTGGCAAATATGGGATACAGATACAGGCATGACCGCTGTTGACACATTCACAGCGTAATAATAAACATAATTTTTTAATTTCATTTTTAACAAGTTTTTTTAAATGTATGTAATGAATAATTCATTAGAATATGATAATGCACATTGTAACAGAATAGAACAATCACCAAATTTTTTTTTTGAAATTAAAAAATAAAAGTAAAAAGTATAAAGTAATCTAACCAAAAAGATATTTAAAAGAATTTTGGAAAAAACAGAATAAGGATAATGATATTATTTTAGATACACAATCGATGTATTGAAGAATAATCCGGTAAAATGATGATATAAAATTAGATTATTTTACAAGTAGCTAAAAGAATAAAACTATAATATAAATAAATGAAGTTTAATGAAACAATAAAGGTTAAATAAATAATAAAGATTTTTATTTTATATCAGTATTGAGAAGAAGTAACAGCTGACACTTGGTAGACACTTCTTTATGTCTAGAAAATTCTATCTTGCCTTTTATTTTTTTCTCGCTGTGAAACGTATTCGGTCTTTTTTTAAAAATTAATTTTTGTTAGAGATAAAGACTAAAACCGGTAAACAACTTCTTTATGTCTAGAAAATTCTATCTTGCCTTTTATTTTTTTCTCGCTGTGAAACATTCGGTCTTTTTTTTAAAAATTAATTTTTTTGTTAGAGATAAGAGCTAAAACTCGGTAAACAACTTCTTTATGTCTAGAAAATTCTATCTTGCCTTTTATTTTTTTCTCGCTGTGAAACGTATTCGGTCTTTTTTTTAAAAATTAATTTTTTGTTAGAGATAAGAGCTAAAACTCGGTAAACAACTTCTTTATGTCTAGAAAATTCTATCTTGCCTTTTATTTTTTCTCGCTGTGAAACGTATTCGGTCTTTTTTTTTAAAAATTAATTTTTTGTTAGAGATAAGAGCTAAAACTCGTAAACAACTTCTTTATGTCTAGAAAATTCTATCTTGCCTTTTATTTTTTTCTCGCTGTGAAACGTATTCGGTCTTTTTTTTAAAAATTAATTTTTTGTTAGAGATAGAGCTAAAACTCGGTAAACAACTTCTTTATGTCTAGAAAATTCTATCTTGCCTTTTATTTTTTTCTCGCTGTGAAACGTATTCGGTCTTTTTTTTTAAAAATTAATTTTTTGTTAGAGATAAGAGCTAAAACTTTGCAGACAAACTCCCCCATGTCTAGCAATTTAACATTCGTCCCCATTTTTATATATTTGGTTTAGAATGTTCGAAAATGCGTAATATGGTCATTAATATTAATTGAAAAAGAACTGAATTAATTCAATCTGATCTCACAAAATACTTTAAATTACAAACTTTGTAGTTTGAATAGATCATTAGTATTAAACTCAAATAACTAGTTTATTTTTGAATAACAATTATTTGACTATTTTCAATTTTGTGAATTTTCCTTCAAAAATCAAGTTTAAATATCTTATTTGCCATATAATTATAAATACAATGAAACATATTCGAAATTGAAAAGAATGACTTTTTCTGTTCTTTCAATCATTCAATTTGAATTTTGCAATATTGGATTTCTCATTAAATAGCTATTAAAAACAACAAGCAATTTAACTTACATTCAAATTTATTTGTGTTATATTCAATCTTCTCAAAACTTATAATTTTCGGCTATAGCATGATTATATGCTATATAATATAATAAACCTATAATAGTATCATTCTTTCAATTATTTGAAGAGAAAACCGAAAAAATCTATTTTCGGTCTATAACATTTAACGGTTAGACTTAGCAATGCGCTCAAGTTCGTCTTTCTTGCGGCAAGCATATGATGTCTGATCATTGTTTGAAGCAGCGATAAGTTCATCAGCGAGGCATTCGGCGATATTGCGAGATGAGCGGAAGGCAGCTTTGCGAACACCTTCTGTGATCAAGGAGAGAGCCTGATCGATACGGCGGAGTGGAGAAACGTCGCAAGCCTGGCGACGGACTGTGCCACCAACACCGATACGTGTGGAGTCTTCACGAGCACCGCAGTACTGAACACCCTTTACGAATGTAACAATTGGGTTCTGGCCTGTAGAGACAGCGATGATATCAAAAGCGTGTTCAACAATGCGGATAGCAAGGAGTTTCTTGCCTGTGTTACGGCCACGGGACATGAGGTGATTGCAAAGGCGCTCAACAAGTGGGCATGAAACTTTCTGGAAACGCTTGTGAACATAACGGCCGGCTGTGTGTGGAACCATAACCTGCTGCTTCTCATGGACTGAGATGTAGTCAACGAGAGCTGGATCGAGCTGGCTGAAATCAACGTCGGAGTAGGCGTACTTGCCAAAAAGCTTTACGTCTTCCATTCGAAAAGGACCGACCAGGCGGTTTTGACATTAGCACTTTTAAAATAAAAACTTGTTCTTTTTATTGTAAAACTATATTTATAAAATAGCATTACGATATTAATTTAGAATTAAGCATTAAAATATTTTTAATAGTTGAATTTCGATTATTCAATCTAAATTCAATAAAAACGAATAGAAACTTTAGTAAATGTAAGGAAAACTTATTTGAATTGATTCATGTCAAATAAACTTTAATTATTTTGTATTCAATAACAATTTTAATTATTAAGAAAAGTTGGTATAAAAAAAATTCATATTTATTATCAAAACAAAAAAAATTATCAATTTTGTACAGTGATAAATGTAGCAACTGATCTTTCAATCCAATGATCAGGAGATACATCAGGTGTTGGGATAAACAATGACATAATGTAGTTTGGAAGTCCCATTGCACCACTGCCTCTATTTTGCATTCGGTACATTGTGCATTCAAATGTCTTTGTCATGTCATATAAGTTCTTATCTTGAGTTGGGTACAAATGAACAATTGGCATCGAAGCGATTAATTCTTTCTGTTCGCATTCGACTAATTTTGAATTTTGTAAATCCCACTTGGCTCCTTCCAAGAATAAACCTTGGATATAGATTCCTTCTTCTGGTGGTTTTGCGAAGTCTTGTTCATGCATTGAATTGGTAACAGTGGTTGCCCATGACAATTTGTCAAATGGAACGACATGCTTTCTTGCGTAAACTTGCAAAACTGCTGTCAAAAACTCTTCCGGATGGAAGAAAGCACCAATCTTGAATACATTTGGTCTTCCTGTCCTAATCCAGTTGTCAATGAATGAAACTCTAAAATTGAGATCTTCCATGTAGGAAGACAATGTCAGGATACTTGGGAACGAGTGAACAAGCCATGCTTCTGGTATTTTGTTCGAAAGGACTCTCTTGTTTAGGATTTCAAGTTCGTTATCAATGACAATCAAACCTTTCAAGCCTTTCTGAAGCTGAATGAGAGAAGATATGATGTATTCCAAAAGTTTGTTGTAAAGGAGTATCTCGTGGTGTAGAACAGTGTTGATTGTGTCACTTAGATCAAATTTTTGCGTGAACTTGTGGATATTGAAGCATTGAGGAACTTGAGAAATGAGTTTTTCGACGAGAGAAAGAGCAAATTGTTCTTCGCTGATTGATCCAGAAGCAGCAACTAATGTGGGTTGGATTTCTATAAGAGAGTTAAATATTCCAAGTGCAGTATTCCTTGCCGTGATTGTCGAAGCATTTGCAGACAAGCCAACATCACTTCCTTCAGTAACCACTGGCCATTTCTGGAGAATATCTTCTACCTGCTTTACATCGTCTGAAAAAACTGGTGATTTGTATCTTTCTCCAAAAGTAAAGTCTGGTTTTTCTATTTCAGGGCTGAAATATCTTCTTAGTAGTGTCAAAAGAAGTCTTCTATCCCATTTGTCTGTAACTCTTCCTCCGTAGTTCAGTTCACCAATAACATATCCTAGCGAATCATATGGAACATATCCTGAGTTCTCAGACAAAAACATCCTGAGATGCTTCCTAGAGATAGTTAAGTCACTTGGATTGAACTCGTAAGGGATGTTCCATCCGATAGATCCAAACAGTAATCTCTCCAGAACAACTGCATGGAAGAAAGACAAATGGAATGTGAGTTTTCTTTCCATTTCTGTGTATTCCTGTTTATACTCGTCTGCAGATATTCCGCTGTAAACTCTTATCATGTTTTCTCTGATTCCCTTTGGAATTTCATAAATTAGTTTGGATCCTTGGTAAAGAATTCCTATTGGGAAGTTTGGATCTGACATTGTGACTAAGCATAGCCTGAACCTTTGTGATACTTTCTCTGGATCTAGATTGTCGATAATTGTCTCCAATTTCGGCATCCAAGACAAGCTTAAGTGACAGTTCTGCAGCAAAATCCAGTAGCCTTTGTCAGCGCCTTCTTCAATGAGTGCTTCAGCTCCAGCACCTCTTCCTCTTCCCAGTGAATAGCTCTTAAGGAACTTTTCTAGATCCATAGACTGTGCGACGTTGATGATTTCGTCTTGAGGATCGATACCTGGAGTGATGATGAAAATTAATGGGGAAAGCGGTGATGATTCTTTGAAAACTTTGGAGAGGTTTAGTGGTGGAGGCTGTATGAACTCGTTTCCAAGGCTTCCACTGACGAAGATTCTCAGTCCTTCTCTAACTCTGTGTAGGTGGAAAAATCTCAAAACGACAAGCTGTTGGAAGAGACTTAAATTTGATTTGTATGGGAAGTTGTCATTCTCTGGTGTGCTTGACTTGTAAAAAGTCTTCCACTCCTCCTCTTTTTGGTTGAAATTATCAACTAAAGCAGCAAATATTTCGTTCAGAGAAGGCAAAACTACGAAAAGATTCCATATTTCGTCAGGAAGCCATTTAGTTGGATTTGGAATCTTTTGTGATTGTGTCATTGGCTGCAACATGAAGGCAAGTTCTTGTTGCCTAAGTTTGTTTTCGCTCATTAGAATTCTCACGGCCATCAATGTGCTGAACAGAAGTTTGTGTCTTGAGAAAAGAGAGAAGCTAACGCTTTGGAAGAAACTCCTTGCGATTGCAAGATTCAATGTTGAAACAAGTTCATTCACATCTTGCGGATGTTCCGAATTAATGACGGCATTCTTAAATATGTTGACGAACCACTTCAAGGAAAATTGATACATGGGATCGATGACCTGGAAGTCTGATGCGCAGAAATACAAAAGGGCGGCTCTAGCAGAAACAGGCATCATTTTAGTTCTAAAGTCTAATATTTGTTCTTCTGTTTTCTTTGATGCGATCATCTGTTGCTCAATCATTTGAGATGTCTTCTGAGCCTTCTGAAGCGTCTCAATTGCAGTGTCATCCTCGAGAATATCTGCTCCAGCATTTGAAACAATCTGCAATATTTCGTTTTCAACCTGCTTCAATTTTATCATGTTTGCAGCATTTGCCTCCATCAGTTGAATTCTCTTCTCGTCCAAGTCCTTTCTCTCGACTTCAAGAAGGTTGTTCATAAGGAGATCAGAGAGACCGTCCTGAGTTGTGGTGAAGTTAACTAATGTTACTTGGGAGCAAACTTCAGGTGAATAATGTGGATTTGGATATTTGGTGCTAAGATACAGTCTGAAATCGTCTGAATAAGAGACATATTCGCCACCAAGTGCAATTTTCTTTTGGCCATCATTGTTTATGATTTCACGAGATAGGATTGGTTCAATCAATGGATCCAATTTCAGTCCGATATTTTCAATTAAAACACTCAATCCAAAAGATACACAGCCTTTCAATCTCTGGAGAAAGTCAGGTTGGTCAAATCGAAGAACATTCAATTTTTCGCCTAAGACATTTCTCAGCCACTTTGTACCACTTAATTGTGGATCGATGAGAAGCGGAAATGCGTTCTTAGAGTTGTTTATAATGATTGCATTTTCGATTGAGTGTGAATCGTTTGGTAGTCCTTTTACGACCCAATCTCTGATGATTTGTTCGATTCCGAGACTTTTCTCAATTGAAAACCTTTCGTTGTGTTTAATATTCTCTTTTACCAAGAACGTCTTCCACTCTTCGATCAGTTGGTATCTAAATGAAGGAGAGAATGCAGCCAAGTGCGTCATTGATGCGGCTGACAGCAGTGTATCTCCTAATAAGAAACCAGCTGTCTCTTTCAAATTGGCAGCAGAAGCTTCCCATCTCGTTGTCTCACCACTCAAGCCGCTCATAATCTTCTGAGCTCTGTCGAGACGAAGCTGTTTATGAGCGACATCGTCTGCTAGTGCCTTTTCCTCAGCCATAGCTTTGTCAAATGTCTTTTGTAGCTCTGCCAGTTGGTCTTCAACACTCTTTAAATAAGCTTTGCTCTCAGCTAGTTTCTTTTGGCTCTCAGCAAGTTTTTGCGCTGCTTCGTCTGCTTCTTGCTTAACTGGAATAATTGTCTGGTAGACGCCCCAGTAGTCGTAGGAAGCACATACCCACAGGTATAGGTTTGATACAGCTTTATATCCTTTCATGATATCCTCTAATTTGCTTTCACGAGCTGAGTTTTCGGCTGGAACATATTTCTTGAGTTTGTCTATGACTGTCTTTGGCAGACTTGGAACATCGAAATTCTTGATATTTGACACAAATTTCGAATCATTAATTAGAGTTAATGTTTCTGGCCAATAGTCATCAACTTTAGTTCCTGGAGTGGGTCCATCAACTCTTCTTGGAGATCTCTGGAAAATTATGCATATGGCCTCAAATGTCTCTCTTAGAGCTGGGGAAATCTTCTTCAATGTCTTAATGTTGACGAGCGAGTTTTTATCCATTGAATCGACTGCATCTTGAGCCTTCTGAAGTATTGGCTGTGCTTCTGCCAATTTCTGCTGTGCGATCGCGTTCTTTTCCTGAGCTTTCTGTTCTTCTGCTGCAGCATCATCTGATTGCTTTTGTACCTCTACTTTAGTTCCTTCGACTTCCTTCTGTTTCACCTGCAGAGTTTTAAGCATTTCCTCAACTTCCTTCTTTTGCTTCTCCAAGACAGGAATTGCGGCATCCAGTTCATTCTTAAGTACATTGATCTGCTCTCTTGTTGTCGTAATTTTTTCGACACCACCAACGTATTTCCTGATGTTTTCTTGAACGGCCTCTTGCTGCTCGCTCAGTCTCTCAACAAAATTGTTCAGGAGCTCGAAATATCTTGAAGGGGTGCAAGCAGTGAATCTTTTTGCTTCTCTGAGGTATCGGTCAGCAGCCCTTTCCACTGACTTATGAATCTCAACGCAAACATTCACAACGCTCTTTATATTTGAAACATTCGCTTTTGAGAATGCGGCATTTGCAACAGACTCCAAAGCATTTCTTGACCATGGCATGTACCAATCAATTGTTGTCTCAGTTCGAAGAGCAGGAAAAGCCAGCATTGATTCCTTGAAAGTCGATCCATAAGGAGAGAAAACTAAGATTATGTGCAAGTGCTGTTTGCATCTGTCGATAAACAACTTCCAAGGATCTCCATCTGTGATCATTTCGTTGTTTATGATATCTGCCTTGATTTGTTCCATTTCTTCGCGGGCAAATAAATTTGGCACTTCTCCATGAATCAGCATATTAGAAATGTCCTCTAGTTGATACGCTCCAATTATTTGAGCATCAGAGATAATAAATCCTGTTGGAGTGTCATTTACTCCCATGTTCTTCATCAGATTCTTCAGATCTTCTCTCCATTCCGTGAATGAATAAGTTCTTGTTATCTGTATTTCAAATGATTCCATACTAGACATGTGCAAAGAAAGCCGTGCTAGAGATTTTCTCCCACTTGATTTGACACCAACAAGGATCGCATGTCCTCTAGGAAGTGTCAATATTCTGTTTAAATTGGAGATGTGGTCAACTGCTTCGTCAAAAATTACGATATCTAGTTGTTTCGATGCATCTCTGTTGTGATCTTCCAGCATCTCTCTGCAAGTCTGTAGGACATCACTTGGTTTGGATTTAATCTCTTTGTACCTTCCTGCTCTGTCTGCAAACTCATTGAACATCAAGATTCCCTTAGGGCAGGCAGTGTCAAAGTCAATTCCCATCTTTGATTTAAGCGTTGATTTGATCAGATTAAAGAACCATTTTCTGTCTTCGTCGACGTTAAATCTGTCATTGTATTCTCTCATCATTTCATGGCTAAATAGTCGTGCCCATGAATTCGTATCTGGTATATCTGTTGGTTTGACTAAAAGCATGCCTTTGATGACTCTAACAATGTTTCTCAAAGAAAAAATATAATGTAACTTTGATGGAATAGGAAGTAAGTTCTCAACGCATTGTTTGTGGATCTCCATTGCAGCATCAACTGTTTTGCTGAATATTTCCTGGACTTCATCCTGGAAGCCAACAAACTTTAGCTTGAGAAGTGATTTAAGGACTTTCTCCATTGACTGAAGTCTCATCTTCGGGCAGTGGATTAAGTTGAAATGTCTCATCAGTCTCTCAGGAATTGAGAACAAACCAGATCCAGCAGGGCCCATTCCGGCAATTAACGTTGTATCAACAACTCTCTGAAATTCAACATTGGCTGTGTTGTACCAGCCCCCGTAGTCGCAGAACTGTCTGATCAATTCCAATGGCGGTTGAGCTCCATATACTTCAGGTTTAACGGAGCCGATGTTATCTAAGAAAATAAGAAGCTGTTGATCAACCAATGGTCCATAAACACCATGGTGCTTGTGCATGAAAGATCTCAATACGTGAAGAATGTTTTTGGCCGTTGAGCAATTTGCAATTGGTAAATTCTTGCAGTCAAATTTCTTTGAGAGAACATTAGCATAAAGATTCTGCACAGTCAGAGATTTTGATGACTCAGGGCCATGGAACAAGACATTGTGCTGATGCTCTACTAAAAGCCTTGTTACAAAAATCATTGCAGATGATTCTGGAGTTGGAATGAAAATTGATTCGACGGGATTCTTCTTTGAGTTCTCAAGTTTATCCCTAGGAATAAACTCGATTCCCAGCTCTCCATCGACGAATGGTGACCATTCGTTCGACTTTATATCTACAAAGAAATCATAACAAGATGCTCCATCAGGGAATTGATTGCTTGATTTATCGAGCATATCTCTCATAAGATTATCAAATAATGAGCGGCTGTCTTCTGCTAAAATCGAACCAAATGACCAAATGATTGCAAACAAGAGTATTTTTTCGAAAATTGGTTTCACATTTTCTTGGTCAAAGTAACCAAATGTGTTTTCTCTCTTCTTTGTGTATCTTGAGAAATATAGAGTATGATCTAGAGGATCTACTTGTCTTGGGTCTTCTCCGTCAGCTGAAATTATTTCTTGTGGTTCTCTCATAATATCGAAGAAACAGTCTATGATATTCAGCATGTTCTTAACGAAGAAAGAAGTGTTAGAACCGATTGCAACTTTTGCATCGCATTGAACAAATGTCAATACTCTTGGAACGTATTTTTCCATTTGAAGTCTAACAAATTTTGCTATCTCTTGGAATTTGCAAGATGTGACCCATGAATCAGCAATTGCCGTCCATGGAAGAGTTACTGGGTCGAAATATATCATACCACATCTTGAGACAGTGGCTGGAGATGCTTGAGATAAATCATCTACCTCAAACATCATCTTGCAGTGTGCACCCAATGAAATACGTTCGTTGTTTGACAAGCAAAGTACTTTGTTATCATCAAGCAATGAGTTCATTGTCTCGATCCATAACGAATCAACTGGTCCATCAACAATTATCCATTTCCATTCTATTGGCTCTGACATTGAACAATCTCTAATAAACGATGAGAGAACGCCATCTGTCCATCCGCTTGTGACAGGGTCGAATAGACCGTATAATTCTGGAATGGAAATTGCTTTAGGATTAAGAATGAATGTAGCCGCTGCTTTTCCAATTCCTTCCTTGCTAAGTTTTCCTAGAGTCTTTTGAAGTGCTTTCCATGCAGTAGATTTTCCGCCCATTGCGCCGCCAACAAACATAATGCCATGCCTAACAAGTGTAGTCTCGTAGATTTCATTGCATTTCTTCACGTAGAGATCAAGTGGTTGCGTCTGTTGTTCAATGTATGATTCGATCATGTAATCTCTCATTTTAATATCGAGGGATTTCTCTGAAACAACTTCTGGAAATACGTCGTGCATAATTCCTTCAAAGAGAGGAATATCCGTATTTACTAACCTTGGCCTGGTGCAATCTCTGATTGACTCGAAGAGCAGTTTTGCTTCTTGCGCTTGTAAGTTGTTTCTTTTCGCCTTTCCTGCTGTGGAAAGAATAGCCTTCATTGCACGCAAGCCCCAGTCATAGTGGTATGCATTTGAAAGCTGTTTCCTGCAGAGATCGAAGAGTGCAACTAATTTAACAGATAATTGTGATGCAGTGTTGTATCCACCAGAGAAAAGCATGATTTCTGAAATGAACACAAAATCAGGGACCATCATAGCGCAAGGTCTGAATAAAGCTTTCAAGTTATCAGGTAACTCAGTTCTTCCTGCGTAACCTGGGTTCATTGTGATGCAAATGGCAGCGTTCATATTGAGTTTGAGTTTTCTTGCATCGAGTTGGAATGTTTCAGCATGAGCTGCAATTGCTTCTTGAATGCATCTCACTTGTTGAGCAATGACAGAAAGAACTTCTATGTTGATTCTATTGAATTCATCAAAACAACTCCATGTTCCACTGCTTGACAAACCGGCAAAAAATTGTGACATTTGTTCAGGAGTGACTTCTTCTGAACAGTTGTAGACTACGCATGGTCTTCCTAGTGCTTTTGCGCAGTCTCTCACTGTCTCCGTCTTTCCTGTGCCTGCAGGACCGCTTGGAGCTCCACTCATATTCTGCTTGAACGCTGCAAGAAGTGTTTGGTAGCATCTATCTGTCAATGGAGTGATAACCAATCTTGCGGAGTTGCCTGCGTACTCGTAAGCGTATTCATAATCGTTATTGATAGATCGCACCATAACAGTATCATTCTCCCAATAGTATCTCAACTGCTGCGCCCACTTAAAATCTTCTGTGTCATCGATATTTTCATCGATTAGCTTTTGAATAATGTCTCTGTTATGAACTTCGAAAATGAGCATGCAAGAGATGCATTGTCTTGTTGCTGGATTCAATGGCTTTCTTATCATGTCTGTCAACCCGTTTAAGTTCTCAAGGAACCTTTTCATCAGGCTGCTCAGGTTCTTTGACTTGATGTTTGCATTCTCAATGGCCTCAGTCACTTGGGTTGTCCACAATATCTGGTTAACTGTAAGGATAACTTGTGCTGGGAAATCTACGAGCCATTCTTCACTCCTCTTCTTATCTGCGGCTGGAATTGCCTCTCTAATATTGTACTTAAGTGTGTTTTGCATCTCTTTCTCAAATGCATTCAGCCAGTCTTCGATTTCTGGAGTGTCGCCGTTGATTTCATTTATCAGCTTCACTTTCTCCAGTCCATCGTCGTTCATGTGTGAGATCATCATGCTGTTGCTAACAGTGATTGTCTGGACATACTCGAAGAGTTTATTCATTGACTTCTGAATTTGATCGAAGTCTTTCGTGTGAGAGAGTATCGAAATAAGTTCATCGTTGGAAAGGAAGAAGAATCTTGGGAATCCAAGTCTCTTTGCCTCTAAATAGGCATTTAAGCCTTGTGTGATTGAATCCAATAATCTGTTTGCGTCCGAAAGGTCTTCGAACAAATGATCTCTCGACATCACATTGTTAAAACTTGGATGTGTCTTAGTCTGTGTCAGAATGAGTGTCCACATTTTGTCAACACGCTGCCAGTCTCTGGCTTCCTGGTGCAGCTTCTGCTGGATGCTAGTTCCAGTAAAAATTGGCTGCAGGTAGAGCCAGCCTCTTTGGCATTCCATCCATGCATCGAGCGATTCGTGGCATCTTCTCAGAAACTGAAGTCTTTCTGTTGCTCTTTTCTTGACAGCATGTATGAATGGCGATGTCAAAAGCGTCTGTGTAGTAACAAGCTGGTCGTCTATCAGCGAAATGATTTGGTCTGCTTCAGCTAAGATGAAAGAACCTGAATCTCTGAATGGCTGCACGTTGAAGTTCTTCTCCTGAAGCTCCAGATCCATCGCGTCGAGCATTGACTCTATGTTGTACTCTTGTGCAGCGATTCCAGCAATCTCAGATATTTCCTTCTGCCATCTCTCCAAATCCAAATCAAGGAATTGTTGCAAACTCATCTCCATCGATGGTTGAACTTTGAATCCGACAACCTTTGATATCTGCTCCCAGTGCTTTGTTTTGATTCCTGGGTGTCTCAATTTGGATATCAGAGGGATCCTCTTCTTAAACTGGTCTATTTGATCTCCGAGAGGTATCAAAATTTTCTTTACAATTTCATCCCTGGCTGATAGATCCTTCTTCGATTTAGCTATTTTCTTTTGGCTCAGTACTAAGAACTGGTTCATTCCCTCTGACTTGATCTGATTGAAAGGAGTGTCTCGCCAACTGTTGTTATTGTTATTCCAATCTCCAGCAAGTGTCCACATCAAGTAGATTGGAGCGAATTCTTCCATCAATTTCGAGAGTTTCTTTGATGGCTGCGGCTCGCTGTCGAAGAGAATTTCTTGTCTGTTGTATTTGTCTTGTCTCTGTCTAAGCTCTACCACTTTGTTCTGAATTTCAGCAATGGCATCCACTGCATCAATAGTCATTTCTAAGTCTGTGAACTTGGACAGGAATGGAGGGATCTCCTTCGAAACTACTTCTGTGTCCTCATCAAGCTTAACTTCATTCTGCTTCAATTCTTCAAACATTCTCACTCTCTCAGACTTGTACTTTATCTCTGCTGCTTCAATTGCGTGGTCTAGCTCTCGCGGAAGGCCTCTAAGAATGTATATTTGTTTTGTGTCTTCGTCATCAATGGAGAAGTGATGGGCTTCGAGGAATTCGAACCTCCTCATCATGAGTTCTACTTTGTTTTGTCTCTCCTTGGAGTTCTGTGCCACGTTGTCCATGTACTCCTTCAGCTTTCCGAGTTCCTCAGGGGTGTTTGTCGTTGCTGACACTTTCATAATTAAGTCTCTCAGATTATCTATCATCGAGTGAGTTTCTTTCTGAGCGAAGTACCTCATTCTCTCGAAAAGAGATAAGACAAGTTTTTCAATTATTTTAACTGTTAAATTCTTGAACTCCTTGCATTCGAGCTGGAACATGCCAATCTTGTAGGAGTCCTGCAACTTGATAGAGACAATCTCGAGGGAATCACGAAGGGAAGTAAGCATCTGCAAGTACTCGTCAATTGTCTTCTTCCCGTCTGGATCGAACTCTGATGGAAATGTCTCTGGATTTAGGCAGATGACCTGTTCGAGGGATCTGTGACTATCTACAAAATCTGATAGCCTCGAGAGAATTGTTTCGAACGTCGAAATCACCTCTTTCCGCTTTCTGATGATCTCCGTCAGGATATCCACGAAAGATACTGTGTCCAGTTTAACATCGATGATAGAGAACTTGATTTCTGGTATTGTAGCAGCAGAATCTTCGAATTTCTGAAGAATTGATGTAAATTTTGTCCGAAATTCTTCAATTGAAGGTGAAATTTGAAGCTGTTTTTCTTCATTCAAGTTGAGTGTTACCAAAAATTGAGCAGGAATCATATTATCTTTCATATCTTTGTATTTCTCGATAGAATTAGCAAAATCTTCGAGAGTTTTTGTGATGGAATCCAGCAAATTATGATGCAGGATCCTCTGTGATAGAGAAATAACTCTTTGATAGAGTTCTTTCTGCACATTAGTATCAGTTGGGCTGTTTATGTTTGACAATGATTCAGTAATAACCATATCTATTGTTTTCTGCACAATGGACTTAAATGAGGCACTGCTTTCCTTAATCTGTGTAAGCTCTTTCTGGATATAGTCATCGAGTGGAAGGATGGTGTTGTATCCTGGGGCCATAAATCTTGTGAGTGCTGTATTTACGAAGGTTTTTGATATCTTTTGAAGAGCTTTTAGGAGGTATGAGTGTGAGTAAAGGAATGCTGACGAAAACGTCTTAAGTAATTGCTGAAAATCATATTCCGATCGATATGGATAACCGTAAGTTGTTCTTTCTGTTTTTTGTTCAAGTAATGCAAGAAATTCATTGCGGTCTGGTAAATTTTCGTTGTTAATTAAGTCATTTATGTAATAAAGTCGTTTGTTTTGTCGCTTAAATAATTCTTTGTTTTCGCTTAAGAGATTTTGATGAAGATTTTTGTAATTTTTGGGAATACTGCATGCGATTCTTGCATCGATGCTTTCGTTTTGTTTATCTGAAATCTCGGAAATGTTAGTAACGTCGAGAGCATCAATTCTTGCATTAAATCTAGTAAGCATTTCGAATTTATGGCATGATAAAGTGGCTACTTCAACTCTTTTGTTGAATTTTTCTTCATTTTCTATTGCAAACCTTATATTGAATCTTGCAACATTTTTGGTCTTCTTTGCGATGCCATACTCGATAGTGAAAAGTTCTTTCTCGTTATCATACCCAATACACTTGCATGGCTTCCAAACCATATCTCCGGCAGCATCCTGAAAGCGGGAAAACGCCGCGGGATTTTTAAGTAGTGTTTCGATAGGAAACTCCATGTAGCTGGCATCGTCAAAGACTTCAAGAGGAAGAATGGTATCTTGAGGAATTGGTATGCTTTCCTTAAGTGAAGGTAAAGGTCGAAATTGTCCTGCCCTTGGAGATTTAGGAACGCTGAAAGCAGGATTTGTGGCACCAAGTCGTTTATATGTTTTGTGAGTAGCTGATAACGGTATCTGATCGTCATTTAGTGATCTTGGTGGACGAATTTGAAATGGAGCCTCAATCACACCTTCACTATTAGTTTTAACTTTACGAGGTGATTTGAGTTGACGAGTGCTTGAAGGTGGTTGTGGTATTGAATCAAAAAGTGGCTCGGGTGTTGTTGGAGGAAGTTCCAACTCCCCAATTGAAGGAACAGTTGGATTTTCTTCAGCAAACTTAGCTGCAATGCGTTTAAAATGATCATTCTTCTCATTCATCGCATGTTCTTGATTCAAAATTCGTTCGCGACGTCCTGAGAAGCGATCAGTCATCAAAAATTCTTTGAAAGATGTTACAAGAAAAAATGCAAATTTGGGTTAAAGAATCAAAAAGAATAAAATTCTGTTTTAAAATTTCTATGATGTAAGGATTGTGTTAAAATGTAAAGTTTACAATTGATTTTTCGTTACAAAAATTTCCCCCAAAGCAATTTCTTTGTATGAATTTCCAAATTGAGTATAAAAATGAAATTATTGCAAAAATCAATGATTATGGTGTTGTAAACAGAAATCCATCAAAAGTGACACCTCAGAAAAGCTAAAATATTGAATTTTTGGAACTTTTGATAGAGCACGTTTTTAAATATTAATTAAAGTAAATGTATATTTTGTAAAGATTCTTTTTAATAAAAAAATAAAATTTTGAAGAAGAACACAAAATCTTCTGAAAAATAATATCACATAAACTCATATTATTTTCTAATATATAACTATTTTATATAAAAATCAAATTCAATGATCTTAAAAGCGAAGGATAAGCCTCAAAATTTACGAATATAATGAGTGGGAATATAATGCTTATCTATCATAAAACCATATGAAATATCAATTTTTGCTTTACGCCTAATTTTTGACGACAATTAGCAAAAAATGTTAAATGTTAACACTCAGTCCATTTGAATATGAAAAATAAAATTGACTTTGATTAAATGTTTTTATTTATCATGCAATTCTTCTTGCGACCAAAGATTTGAATAAAATTTCAAAAAATAAGATAGCTTAAAAATAATATACGGTAGTGTTTACTAATAGATGAATAGTATATAAATTCTATTAAAATGGATTTGATCCAAAAAATATAAAACCAAAATAATTGTTATAATTTAAATGAAGAAGTAATTTAAAACGATTTTATTTATGATCAAATTTTATATATTTTTTTGGATCAAATCCATTTTAATAGAATTTATATACTATTCATCTATTAGTAAACACTACCGTATATTATTTTTTAAGCTATCTTATTTTTTGAAATTTTATTCAAATCTTTGGTCGCAAGAAGAATTGCATGATAAATAAAAACATTTAATCAAAGTCAATTTTATTTTTCATATTCAAATGGACTGAGTGTTAACATTTAAGGGTCCACTGTAAAAATTGAAAGTCTCTCAAAATTGAGAGGCGATTTGCAAATAATCGTTATCGTCTTTTTTCGAAAATCCACTTTTCCTAGTGTTCTGATTAATATTTTGTGAATGTAACAATGAAGTATATGTTTTAATAAGATGATAATATATTCTATTACTTCAAATCACATAAAAATTGCAAAATCAGCGAGTTTTATAAGAACATGATTTTTTCCTATTTTTTTGCTTCTGGATGCATGTTTTGAAAAATAGATATTTTCGAATTTTGATTTTATTATAAGTATGAATTTTATATTAGGAATTTTTTGACCTATTTCCAATCATTAATTCCTAAGTTTTTCTAGGAATTAAATTGAGAAGAAATTAGGAAATTCGCTTTAATGCCATTACATACTAATATTGTGATGCATGTAGTTTATATTTAAAGAGGCTAATGTCGGAATATCGTGCATTTTTATAAAAAATTCAAAGAATTGACAATTGGATAGCACAAATTTAATTCTCCAGACAAAGTATTATTGTTTATATATTCAAAACATTATCCTTAGTTTTGAAATGTTGGCAAAAAATTTTCGTGTTATTTTTTGTGTTTCAGCATAAATTATGTATTTACTTATGAAAGATAAGCATTTTATTCATTATCATAAAGATATACCATAACAAATTGATAACATTTAAAAAAAAGTGTATTTTAGTGGGTATTATTCTGGCCAATGCCATTTTTAAACGATTTAATATTGACCATATCAATAGCCGACTCAATGTAAAAATTTAGATATTATTTTTTTCATTATTCAAACTTTGATAAATTTTAGTATAATAAATGATTTTGTTTCGTGTATGATACAGAAATGAAAAGCTTAATTAATATCATTTTGCATTTTTTCAAGAATGTTAGAGTACATCTACATTAAAAAATCGGATTCGAATTGCGATACTGCATCAAATTGTTGCACATCTGATAAGGATCTCAAAAGAGTAAAGTTAATTTTTTTGTGTTTTTTTAAGTTTTGGGTCTGAGTAAAACACCATCTTGAGCAATATTTTTGGGATGACGATAGGCCTTATTTGGCCTTACAGTGGACCCTTAACATTTTTTGCTAATTGTCGTCAAAAATTAGGCGTAAAGCAAAAATTGATATTTCATATGGTTTTATGATAGATAAGCATTATATTCCCACTCATTATATTCGTAAATTTTGAGGCTTATCCTTCGCTTTTAAGATCATTGAATTTGATTTTTATATAAAATAGTTATATATTAGAAAATAATATGAGTTTATGTGATATTATTTTTCAGAAGATTTCATTCTATATGCCTATGAAAAGTACTCTCAAAACTAACTTTTTCCTAATTATAATTAAATCTAGAATATTGTATTATGCTTAGTATTATTTCATTTTTCTCATTCAATTTAGAATTTACAAATGTCAAAAAATTGAGAGCTGTCACTTTTGATGAATTTCTGTTTATTACATATGGTAATCTAGTTTAAGGGGTTTTCAATATCCTTTTTATATTTTATATTTGTGAAAATTTGAACGCTAGTTACTGAATGCATGTGATATGACTAAACTTGCTATTTTTGAATTTTGTTGTATGCAAAAATAAATGAGCACTGTTAAATTCAAAAAAAACTTATATTACATATTTTAAAATAAACATCAAACATTAAGCATTAAAACGACAATATTCATATAAAATTACTTAGTCCTTTTTCGAACTTTGTTTTTCTTCTTCCTCTTCTTTCTTTTCTTCTTCCTCTTCTTTCTTTTCTTCTTCCTCTTCTTTCTTTTCTTCTTCCTCTTCTTTCTTTTCTTCTTCCTCTTCTTTCTTTTCTTCTTCCTCTTCTTTCTTTTCTTCTTCCTCTTCTTTCTTTTCTTCTTCTTCTTCTTTCTTTTCTTCCTCTTCTTTCTTTTCTTCCTCTTCTTTCTTTTCTTCTTCCTCTTCTTTCTTTTCTTCTTCCTCTTCTTTCTTTTCTTCTTCCTCTTCTTTCTTTTCTTCTTCTTCTTTCTTTTCTTCCTCTTCTTTCTTTTCTTCTTCCTCTTCTTTCTTTTCTCCTACTTCTCTTGTTTTTTCTTCTTTCTGCTCATCATGCAGATCTGCATCGTTCTTTTGATTAACAACAACCGGAGCTTTTGTTGTAGCATCAAAGAGCTTGTTATTATTGAATTTTCTTCCTTTTTCTGTTTCCTTAATTTGTTTCTGTTCAAAAAGCTCCCTAAATTTACTTTTAATTTCTGCCTCTTCTTCTTCAGATAACTCCATTGGTTTGTATCTATCCATAGATTCTATCCATTCTTCATCATTTTCTTTGTATGTCAAAATTCTAGAATCAACATTCTTCATTTCCAATTCTATTTTATCTTTGCTTGTTCTTTGTACTTCACTTAATGGCGGTTCATCCTCTAGTTGAGTAATTTGTTCGACTTGAACATTTCTGTCAGCAGAGTTTTTCCTTACCTCGCCTTCTTCTTTCTCAAGAAATAACTCCACCTCATTAAGTTTATCTTCAGCACTACTTATTTTCTCTGAAATTTGTTCCATATTTTCAACATTGTTAACCTTCTTTAGGGTATCCTCAGCTCTCCACTTGTCAAGTCTTTGGCGACACCAGGAAATCCTCTCTTCAATCAAGTCAATTCTTGCAAAAACTGTCTTCTCATTCAGTTCGTTAACTATTCTGTTGCTTTTTTCCAATGCTTGATCAGTAAGTTTTGTGTCTTCTCCGATGAATTTGGTAATGTCTGCTTCCAATATCTGTATCTCTTTATCAAACTTCATTTGCAGGATATCAAATGCAGAGTTCAAGGTTTCTATGATTTCATCTTTTTCAGGAATCTTCTTCTCTAATGGTTTGCTGTTGATTTGACTTGATTCGAATTTCCGAAGAAGTTTATCAAGTTCTTCAACAAATTCTTGGTCCTTTTCGATCTTTTCTTGAGTGGATATTATTTTCTTTTGCTGTGTTACAAGTTTTCTATTCAGTTCTTTATTTATCTCTAAAATAGACTTCAAACTCTCTGATTGAGAATCTAATTTCGAAGATTGATCCATTATTTTTTTCTGGATTTGCTTGATTTTTCTGCTAATATTATTCTGAAAATCTTCTATTGCATGAATGACTATTTCTTCCATTCCACTGCCTTGAAAATTTGTTAACAAAGATTCAAGATCTTCCTGTCCATTGCTGATATCGCGATTTTGTTTTTGTAATTCAATATATGAATCATATTTTGACTCTAATTGGTTAATATGTGTTTGAATTTCATAGAATTTTGGTGAAAAATTATTTATATAATTTGTGGCTCTTTTGAAATAAATTGATGTGTCATTGGCTATTCTGTCTGAGTTAGTCATTAAAATAGCAATTTTATCATTAGATTCGTGTAAAGAGGATGAAAATGTTTGTTCGATATCTTCTAACATTGAATTATTTGAATTACTAACTTTAGAAGATTGCTTGTATTTCATATCTATTGAATTTTTTAACTGTTTATTGTAAAAATTCTGCAGATCTGAGGATTTGTTATTTAATTTCAAAATATTTTTTGTTTTGATAAGTTCGATTTGGTTAATAAACATCTCAATCAATTTGTTGTTTGATTCAATTTGTTTTTGAATTGAAATTATTTGAGGTCGAAATTCTAAATCAAGTTCGTTTAAAGTAGATTGGCGACGACTAATATTTCTATCAATTGTGTTTGATTCGCCTTGCATAGAAAATGCAAAGTCTTCTTTTGCTTTTTGAATTTCATTTAAAGAAACGAGATTTGAGAACAATGAGCCTTTTAAACCATTCTTCGAATTCCTTAAACTTGAGTTAATGTTTTTATTTGATGAGAATAGAGGAGGAAGTGTGCTATTTTTCATTTAAAAATTCTTGCAAAAAAAATCTTCAAAAAAAAACGTTATTTTTGGGAAAATCTCGGAAAGTTAATGCCGAGATTTGTCTAGCATTAGTTTATAAGTTTTATCTTTTTCATTCGCTAAAGATTCTTCTAAATCCTGTATCTTTTTTTCATACGATTCCTTTTGGAGTAATGTCGCTAATATTTCATCAGCGTGACAGTTGTGGCATGTGATTTGGTTTCCTTTATTTTGATTTTCTTGATTTTGGGAAGAATTTCGATATTTTTTGCAATTCTGCGATAGTTGTTTGCATTTATGCTTTAATATAACATTTTCTTTCTGAAGCTCAGTCATTCTCTCACGTAATTGGAATTCTTGAACAATCTGAAGCTGGGATGGGCTTTGATTAGACAGTTGCTTTATAGGTTGACTTCTTGTAGTTAAATTTGTGTTTTTATTCAGTACGTTCTCCTTTATGAGATTTTGGATTTTACGATCTCGAATTTCGAGTTCTGCCTTTTGTTGACTAATTAATGATGTTATGTCTGGTTTAGGAGTATAAGTTGTGTTAGTAGGTAAGATATTTTGTTCGATATTTTTAGAACATGAATTAAATATTGCTTCCTGTTGCATTTTTTGAGTAAGAAGTGCATTCTCATCCATAAGCGATCTATTTTTCTTTTCTAGTTCTTGCAGTTTTAATTTAAATTCAATAACTTCTGCATTTATTTGAGAATTTTGATTGTTTTGTTTTTGAAGTCTATTAATTTCACTATTTGCATGAATAAGCTTTTCTTTGAACGAAAATATTTCAGATTTCAAGCGTTCTATTTCTGCATTTGCTTCTTTGAGTTGATATTTGAGTTTATCAATAATTTGCTGGCTACTGCTTTCTGAAATGTAATCACTTGTATCATCAAACTCTATCATCTAATGAAAATTTAAATTCATATCTTTAACGTACAGTTTCAGAAAAAAAAATTATATTACTTGAACTTTTTAGAGTTTAACAAACAATATAATATGATTAAAGAGGTGCTAATAACTTTGCATTCAAATGAAATGCGCAAACACAATTCACTCCATGGAAAAGAATCTGAACAGATGCGAAAACTTCTTGTTCTGCGGCCAATTTTGTAACATCAACAATTGTTGAGCCGATAACATCTCCATTTTGCCGCAACAGAGATATCGATAGTCCGTTTGTCACTACTTCAATAACAAACCCTGATTTCTCGCACGTGAACAGGAGCTGCATCGGCTCTATCTGCGGCGAAAAGTGGAACATCTGTGTTGTTGCTTCGTTCTTGCAGAAATCAAATTTGAGGCAAACATAGTCTTGTGGCTTCAGGGCGAGGAAAATGTCGGAGATAGTAAAGAGTACTGCTGCCTGGCCTTCGTATAAATATATATTGTTGACTTCTGTGTAGTTTATTTGATCTTTAAAATCGTTATACCTTTCGCGCTGAGCCATGGTTATTTCGTACAATTCTTTGTTCAAAATCTTCTTTAGTTTCGATATTTTGCTGAGTTTTTGATCTTCGTATGATACTTTCTTCTCCAAAATCTCAATTTGTCTGATTACTTCATTTACATCATCAAGAGTCATCCCTTCATGCATCATATCGTATAAAAAATACATAAATTTGTGGTCTTCAAATGGATTTTGAGGGCACTTTGAGTACAAGGTGTAAAATTTGTCTCTCATCCCAGAACACTCTATTTTTAAAATTTGTATTGAATCATTTGCTTCTTTAATTGATGTTTTGACTTTTTCCAACTCTTCTTTCTTGTTTTTTACAATATTTTCTGTCTCTTTAATTGAAGATTTCAGTTTTTCTACATTCCTACGCATTTGATCAATTTCTATATCATCGTCCATTGTTTCTAGGTTGTTAGATATTATTTTTAACCCACATTCCCTTGCAATTCGGCATTTTTCTCTGCCAATATCTGATTTTATATTCAACTTAGAGTTTTGGAGGGCATTTATTTCTGTTTGAAGGCTATCTAGTTCTGGTAGCTGTGATTCTAGTTTTTTTATCTGATTTTCAAGAGCTGTTCGTTGAAGATAATGATCTCTTTCATTTTCGATTTGTTGGTTGAGTTTATCTTCGAGCTCATTGACTCTTTGTTTCATCTTCTTTTTTTGCTGTTTCTTTTTATCGACTTGTTCTTGTAAGATTAAGATTTCGTGATCCAAGTCTGAAATTTTATCTTTAAGAGCTTTTTCTTGAAAAATCAATTCACTATCATCTGTGTTTTGTTTTTCAAAATATGATATTGCTGAGTCTAAATCCAATTTCATTAATTTGATTGCTGCTAAATATTGATTTTTAGAGTCCCAATCCTTGCTTAATTTAAATAATTCTTCGAGTTCTTCAATAACATCTTGCTTTTGTTGGATAGGTGAATGATTTTCGAAATCATCTAAACGATATTTTTTGTTTGGGAACACAAAAAAAGATCTAAAGTAATTTAATTCACGCAATTCTTCATTTCTCGTAACTTCTACCCTTCTTAAAGTTAAATCTAGTTCATCAATTTGATATAAAAGATTTTTTATTTCCTTTTTGATCTTTTTATTAATTTTTGGCATATCTTTGCCTGATATATTTGTTTCTGGTTGATTTGTTGCTTCTGTTTGTTCTTCAATTACTCGATTTTTTGATTTAGATTTTGCTAACTTTGATTCTAGATCGAAAAGTTGCGTAGCAAGTTCATCTAAAGACATACATTCCTCGATAAAAATATCCTCCAGCTCCTTTCGAGAATATGTCGAAAGGAGCCGATTCCTAAACATAAAAAAAATATAACAAATGATTTTTATAAGTTCAATTAACAATATACAAACAAATAATTTATTATTCTAATATAAAGATAAAAAAAAATTACAATTGATTTGGTGCTTGAGAAGATTTTCTTCCTTTGAGGTCACTTGTAGTAGACCGTGTTTTTGAAAGTCTTGATTTATCACCTATTGTCCATTTTGGCAAGTTATTTCCGCTGCGAATGTCATAGGCTCCTGGTCCAGGCACTGAAAGATCTTTTGGCAGCCAATCATCTCTAACCATTGGTCCTTTAACTGAAAAGGCACTAAATGACCTGAATGATGGATTATCAGGGGAGTAATCAGTTGGTCCAGGCATAGGTTGAGCAGTTTTCTCTGGGAACTTAAGGCCGATCTTAATATCACGTTGATCTAAGGTAGATTGGAGAACTACATGTTGACAATCAACAGTTGCAACATCAGTAAAATCTGTTCTACATTGAGGAGCAATAGTCTTTTGTTTAACTTCGGGAAAGCGGCGAGTATTTTCATATGGCGCATTGCAGTCATTTATAGATCTGGATGTTGCAGTCCTTGGCCTGATTGCTGGGCCAATTTTGTGGCTGAATTCTGTTGTAATTTCGTATGCTCCAGGACCAGGAGTTGAGCTATTACTGCTCCTTGTATTGTGAGAACGTCTTGATGTGCTTAATCCGCCTCTATTAGATAATCGAGAAGAATCTGCATTTGAGTTTTGATTATTTGATGAATTATTGAATGCACTAGCATCATTATCGGGAACATCTGAATGTATCTTGGTTCTTCGAGTTGAATTAGGAGAAGTTGCGGTTTTTGTTGGCTTTCCGTTTAATTTTGTTGGCGGACCAAAATCTTCGTTTTGGTTATTGTAATCGCTAGCTGAACTTGGAGGAAAATTTATAGAATTTCGTGAGTTATCACGACGAGAGATCGTCCAAGCTGGACTTCCACTTCCAATTCTACTAGGTTGATTGTACGTGTATCCAGGATTCTTATCTCTTGATTCCATTTGACCTGTTCTTGGGCGTATTGCGGTGCGGGGAGTATCGCTACCAACTTTACTTCTGGTTGAATATGCCGCAGGACCAGGTGAATCAGGAACAAGATCTAGTACAATAGGGCCGCGTGAAACCATTGCGGGTACCTTAGTTCCAGATAGATCTTGAATTGAATAATCAGCGGGTCCAGGTAAATGAGAAGTATCTGGATCTTTATACCTGTTTTTAATTTTTACAGATTTTGTAAAGTATTCTTTTGGATTTGGTAAAAATTCTGGTCCTGCGGTATCTTGAATTGCTCTATCTTTGTATCTTGGACCAATCGCTGATTTCCTGCCGCCAAGGGTACTTGTAAGTGGCATATAATCAACATTGGCTGTGAGAGATTTTTTCTCTTGATATCTTGGTCGAATGGTAAAGCCAATAGAATATTGATTACCAAACGATGACCTCAAATCATCGCCGTAAGCTCCAGGCCCAGGAGTCGAATCATATCTTGAAACAGCAGGAAAATCTTTGAGACTCATAACTTTATATTTTTGACAAATATCAAAATAACGTTTTTTATCTCTTATCTCTCTATGTATTTTATCAAGTACATCTTTATTGGGATAGTGCAATAGAACATATTCATCTATTCTTTTTAAATGGATATTTACTAGGATGAACCCTCTTCGGCTTGATTATTTATTACGATTTCAGTAAATATCGTTAAAGGCTATCCATAGTAATAGAATAGCTTCCAAAATGATTAAAATCATGAATTACATATGTAGATACATGCATTAGAAAATCAAAATCCACTTCGATAGTATCCAGTCAAAATTTTTATTGGAAAATCAGCTACATAAATTTCATTCAAGTGACAAATACATAGTTGAAATTTACAGTAAATTGGCTAATACAATTTTTGTGTAGAGATTTTATTGCGATTTTAATCTGCTTTCATGCAATTTTGCTGAAGTAAATGTCTTTTCTTACCAAATGATATTTGAATGTCAAAAAATTACTGGGATTTCCTGATATACTTTTGATATAGAAATTTGAAATCTTATAATACTGTTATTGTTTGATATTACAGACAATAACCATTACGAAATATTTATGAATACACATAGACATGTTTATTCTATTTATTTGTTGCTCTTGAAATAAAATCATTATCAATTTTTTTGAAATTTGCAATGACTATATTATTTTTATCGTAATATATGAGATTTTATCAGCTTTAAATTGAAGATATAAAAAATATGATTTCAAAATCAAAAAATATTGTATATTAGGCTTCTGCATACTGGCACAGCCAGTGGCACGAATTTTTTGGGAAACTGGCAACTGGCACGAATTTTTTAAACTGTCCCCAAAATTTGAAATTTTTCCCCTTTTATTTTTTTATTTTTTTATTTTTTTTTATTGAAATTAAAATTGTATTGCCTATTAATACTTTTGTTCAACAATTAAATAATGAAAATGTTTATTAATTATAATTTATTGAGAGATATCTGTAATAAAGGTAGGAAAAGGATAATTCTGATGTTTTATAATTATTTATTGATTCTCATATTCTTGTATATATGGATGAATTTCTCAGAGAAGATATACTCTTTGAATATACTCCATAATTTGCATATCTCACTGTTGATTGAATACGGTCACCAACCAAACAACCCAAAACTCAAAAGTGTTATGACATTTATACAATACATCTGCTTGAGTATAGAAGCGAGGCCACATCAGTATTATCCTCTACGATTTTATATTATTATCCCTCATACGATGTTTTACTACACCCTGATCCACAAAATGTCAGGGATGTAAGTTTACTCGAATAGGGCAATATTCCTTATGAAGCCCCTCATTGAATGAGGGGCTTCATAAGGAATATTGCCTTAAAGTGCTTTTACTACCCTTCCCTAGTTCTTGAAAGTGTAGGATTCTGTAAATTTACTCGAATAGAGCAAAGTTCTTCCGAGGTCTCTCATCAAATGAGAGACTTCGGAAGAACTTTGCTCTAAGGTAATGTAATTGTAGTCTCTGGCTATTTACAGGTCAGGGAATGTAAATTTACTCGAATAGAGCAAAGTTCTTCCGAGGTCTCTCATCAAATGAGAGACTTCGGAAGAACTTTGCTCTAAGGTAATGTAATTGTAGTCTCTGGCTATTTACAGGTCAGGGAATGTAAATTTACTCGAATAGAGCAAAGTTCTTCCGAGGTCTCTCATCAAATGAGAGACTTCGGAAGAACTTTGCTCTAAGGTAATGTAATTGTAGTCTCTGGCTATTTACAGGTCAGGGAATGTAAATTTACTCGAATAGAGCAAAGTTCTTCCGAGGTCTCTCATCAAATGAGAGACTTCGGAAGAACTTTGCTCTAAGGTAATGTAATTGTAGTCTCTGGCTATTTACAGGTCAGGGAATGTAAATTTACTCGAATAGAGCAAAGTTCTTCCGAGGTCTCTCATCAAATGAGAGACTTCGGAAGAACTTTGCTCTAAGGTAATGTAATTGTAGTCTCTGGCTATTTACAGGTCAGGGAATGTAAATTTACTCGAATAGAGCAAAGTTCTTCCGAGGTCTCTCATCAAATGAGAGACTTCGGAAGAACTTTGCTCTAAGGTAATGTAATTGTAGTCTCTGGCTATTTACAGGTCAGGGAATGTAAATTTACTCGAATAGAGCAAAGTTCTTCCGAGGTCTCTCATCAAATGAGAGACTTCGGAAGAACTTTGCTCTAAGGTAATGTAATTGTAGTCTCTGGCTATTTACAGGTCAGGGAATGTAAATTTACTCGAATAGAGCAAAGTTCTTCCGAGGTCTCTCATCAAATGAGAGACCTCGGAAGAACTTTGCTCTAAGGTAATGTGGTTGTGATGCTTTGATCACAAAGAGCGAGAGATTTTGTCTGAAATTCGTTTATGCCGAAGTTACCAGGATTTCTTTCAAATGAGGAAGTAAATCCAGGAAACTTCGGCATAATATAATGCTGTTGTGGTTCTCTAGCTCTTTGCCTGGCAGAGAACGATGAATGAGTTTATATTGTGAGCATGCTCGATGCGCACACTCACTGAAAATATACGTTATTTTTTATTTTTTTATGAAAAAATAGTTTTGCATTTTTATAATACTATATGCTTTACTATTTCATAAATCGCCTATTTTTCTATCCAAAACCTAATTTTTCCGTGTGATTCGGAATCTTTGCATTCCAAAAATTCGTTTTCTGCTTTCAGAACGCGAAAATACCAACTACATGATGAGATAAAGGAGATTCTCTCACTCAAAAATTTCCAAAAAAAAATCACTTTTCTTTTTTTCACATGAAAATTTTTGATTTTTATTTTCGAAATTCTAAATTCAAAAAAAATTTGGAGAATTTTCGGAAAATTAAATATGATAGATTGCAATCATTTTATGAGTACTATGTATTTGTGCGCTCATATTTAAGTTTTAGCGAAAATTGAAAAAATAAAAAAATAGAAACATAAGAAATCTCTTTATCTCATCATGTAGTTGGTATTTTCGCGTTCTGAAAGCAGAAAACGAATTTTTGGAATGCAAAGATTCCGAATCACACGGAAAAATTAGGTTTTGGATAGAAAAATAGGCGATTTATGAAATAGTAAAGCATATAGTATTATAAAAATGCAAAACTATTTTTTCATAAAAAAATAAAAAATAACGTATATTTTCAGTGAGTGTGCGCATCGAGCATGCTCACAATATAAACTCATTCATCGTTCTCTGCCAGGCAAAGAGCTAGAGAACCACAACAGCATTATATTATGCCGAAGTTTCCTGGATTTACTTCCTCATTTGAAAGAAATCCTGGTAACTTCGGCATAAACGAATTTCAGACAAAATCTCTCGCTCTTTGTGATCAAAGCATCACAACCACATTACCTTAGAGCAAAGTTCTTCCGAGGTCTCTCATTTGATGAGAGACCTCGGAAGAACTTTGCTCTATTCGAGTAAATTTACATTCCCTGACCTGTAAATAGCCAGAGACTACAATTACATTACCTTAGAGCAAAGTTCTTCCGAAGTCTCTCATTTGATGAGAGACCTCGGAAGAACTTTGCTCTATTCGAGTAAATTTACATTCCCTGACCTGTAAATAGCCAGAGACTACAATTACATTACCTTAGAGCAAAGTTCTTCCGAAGTCTCTCATTTGATGAGAGACCTCGGAAGAACTTTGCTCTATTCGAGTAAATTTACATTCCCTGACCTGTAAATAGCCAGAGACTACAATTACATTACCTTAGAGCAAAGTTCTTCCGAAGTCTCTCATTTGATGAGAGACCTCGGAAGAACTTTGCTCTATTCGAGTAAATTTACAGAATCCTACACTTTCAAGAACTAGGGAAGGGTAGTAAAAGCACTTTAAGGCAATATTCCTTATGAAGCCCCTCATTCAATGAGGGGCTTCATAAGGAATATTGCCCTATTCGAGTAAACTTACATCCCTGACATTTTGTGGATCAGTCAGGGATGTAAATGATGTCTATTGAATTTCATTAAATTTCGAATTGTTTTAAATTTTTGAATAAGCATGAATATGTCAACTTCTATTTCACACTTATTTACCTCATACTTGCTCTTTCGAGAAGGTAGCTAGCTCAGCTTTCGCTGAGCGATTTGACACTTTTGATTCCATAAACGTACATACTCTCAATTTTTTTTGTAAAATTTAAAATCAGCCAAACTAGATACACTCTTCTCATATATATGATGTTTTGCTTAAAATCCACATAAAAATTAATACTAATTATTCGACAAGCATATCATGTGATTAATTGATCTGCAATATGAAGATATATATTTGATCAAATATAATTTGGGGCCTCAGGTGGCTTCGCTTGCCCTTCGGGCAAGCACGCCACCTTCGGCCAAATTAAATAATTTTTTTGAAAAATTGAATTATTTACTATTTGGTTGGCGCAAAGCGCCAACCAAATAATGAAGAATACTAATATATGTTTACTTAAAATATGATTAAAATTTTTGAACGAAAACTATCAAAATTAAGTCATAAAAAATATAAATATAAAAAAAAGGTAGTGGGGCTTCCAGGCGCGTTGCGCCCTCTAGCCCTGAAGATGTTTAGTATAAATGAAGTTTATATTCGGAGGGCTTCCAGGCGCGTTGCGCCCTCTAGCCCCGAAGATGTTTAGTATAAATGAAGTTTTTATTCGGAGGGCTTCCAGGCGCGTTGCGCCCTCTAGCCCCTAAGAAATTTTACCCAAGACCCAAGAGGAGGACCGAACCCCAGCCGACCAGCCGGTGACAAAACCAAAACCGTTGTTATTTACATCATATTAATACTGTCACTTTTTTAAATGTCACTTTTTATGTCGCTTTTCACAAATTATATATGTTTTCATGTTTTGTCACTTTTCTGTCACTTTTCGGGTAAAAACATTTTTATTATTATATATAAATGAATTTTACAAAACCACCGTTACCGTTCTTTGGAAATAAGAGTAGATGTAAAGATATTATATTGAGAGAACTTAAGAAACTACCGAATGGTCTAACATTTGTAAATTTGTTCGGTGGAAGTTTCTATATATCCCATTTATGTCATACAATATTCCCAGACTCAAAGATTATATGCAATGACTTCGACAACTATATGGACCGTCTCAAACATATTCCAGACACAAACAATATATTGAAAGAGTTAAAAGAAAAGATACATATAGGTAAGATGGAACGTATACCATTAGATAAGAAAAATATTGTGAGAGAGGTTTTGAAAAAAGCAGAATATATAGACTAGGATAGTATATCTGCTAGACTATTATATAGTGGTTCTATAAGAGTTCATGACATTGAAACACTTATGTCAAAAGTTTTATATCTTAACTATACAAATGTTTTCAAAGAGGACATAGAAAAATATATTGAGGGTATAGAGTTTGTGAGATGTCATTGGACAGAGTTGTATGAAAAATATAAAGACAAGGAAAATGTTTTCTTTATAATGGACCCGCCGTTCTATAACACATGGGATTTTCAATACCAAGTAGACTGGACTTTGAGAGACTCTTTAGAAACTTTAGACGTTTTACATAACCATCCATGCTTTTCCTTTACATCCGATAAAAGTGGTTTGGAAACCGTTATGAGATGGTTAGAGGACATACATGACTATGAGTTTATATATGACAAGATAGAATATGAGAGAGGTCCTATAAACTGGAGAAAGTGTCACAATAAAGAAATTTTATTAGTAAGTAAATGTGGTTTGAAATAGGACTACTTGTTTTAGGTTTTTTCCATTGTGTCATTTATTTATTTGACGTGGCAGAAAAGTACAGAGAATATGAAGATGAACCAATGCCTGCAAATGTTCAGCATATGTACTCGTAAGAGATATTTTTATCTAATATTAAATGGACGCACAGAACTTAGCGAATGCACAGCAACCTGGACAACCAAACCCAGAGAATATTCCAAATGAAGTTAGAATACAAACTGCAATGGCAAACTATGGTCAAGTGCCAACAGATGTACAAGTGCAAACTGCCATGTCAAATGACGCTGCGTTAGGTTTGCCACCATGGTATGCAAATATGAGATGGAAAGAGTTTTATACAAACCCTGAAGTGGGATATAAACAACTTTATGCAGATGACGCGAACACAGGAGTTGACTCAGAATATGTTTTCTACCAGAGGAGAAACAGAATGTATGAGCTCCAGTTAAAGAATGCTATGGAACTCAACAGGAAACGTAAGAGACTAGGCGGACATTAGATTTTTACATATAGTAAAATGGGTTTCTTCAGTAGTATTGGAAACTTCTTTCGAAATGTTGGAAGAGGTATATGGAATGGAATAAAATCTGTCGGAAGAGGAGTATGGAACGGTGTCAAAAATATTGGTAAAAGAGTAGGTCAGTTTGTTGGTATTATACCTAAAGACCCTGAACCAGAAGAACAAGCTCCTGTAATACAACAGCCTGAACCTGCACCACAGTCTAGTTGGCAACCAAATCCAACACCTCAACCGTATTAAAAAATTATATTTTTACCGTTCGATAGTAGTTGTATATGAAACTAAGTTCTAAGTAAAACGCATGGTATAATGGAATTATTCTTTTTCTTCCATCTGTAGTAAACCATACTTGAAAGTCTGAAATACTTCCACTTGGTGGTTCGTATAACTTTGTAGGTTTTTCGTAAAAGTCATTTGCCAAGCATAAGAAAGAGTTTTGGGCGCCAGAAAATGAAGCATGAACAATAATAGCATCTTGGTCGAAAATATTTTCATATGTTCCATTAGGGTTTTCGACTTCATAATAGTCCGGGTGTACTGGATATGCTGCAGGCTGATTTAACATCCTCATAAATCTATACCATGCCAAGTTGTTATATTTTGTAGAAATATAAACGTTTTCTCCAAGGTCTTCTATTTTATTGATTTTAACAGTTGCATTTTTCCTGTCATAAATAATATCGAGATGGTATTCTCCTTCGTCAATGTTAAACTGGTTTGCATATTCAATATAGATATCGTTTATTTTTTCTTGAAAAGCTTGAAGAGTTGTTTCTAAGTTTATAAGCAAACTAACTTGTAAAAGTTTTCCCTGTTCAAATTTCTCATACATACGTTTTTCTTTGTTATAGTATCGAACTTCAAAACCGACCGTAAATGGGAAACAATGTATGGCTTCTGAAATGAACTTCATTCTACGAAAGCCAATAGCTTTTGTGACGGATGGGTCTCTTAACCATCTTAATGGGTAGTCAAAACGATAGCCTTCATGCTTTACGGTATCTGTCTCAAACTTTTGACCGACATTAGTAAAAAGTTCATCTAATGGTTTAGTTGTAGCAACTCTAGAATTTTCTTTTTCTATTGGAAGCATATTTTATCTATAATAAAAATGTCAAATGAAACAGCGTCTATGAGAGAAATACAACACAACCGACAACTCATTATGCAAGCTCTAAATAAGAACACAACAAACTTTTCAAACTATTCTAAGATATCTGAGTCATTGAAAGGGGGTGACTTAAAACTGACAATAAACCCAATGACAGATGAGTTTCTGTTTCAAGACAATAAGAACCATACTGTCTGTATAAATCCAACAAAAGGAACTTTAAACGAGAAACCTATAAATGAACTTCTTTTGAAAGCAGATGTTGACAGCAAAGCTGACAAAGAATATGTAGACGATGCAATAGCAAAAGAAGAAGAAAGAGCTAACAATGCTTATGCAACAAAAGAACATACTCATCCTGAACTAGCAGACAAAACATATGTTGACAATAAAATGTCAAGTGAAGTGACAAGAGCTGAAAACGAATATTCTAAAAAGACTCATATACATTATATTAACCAAATACCAAGTCTTAAGGAAACATTAGAGACAAAAGCAGATAAGACTCATACACATACCATTGCAAATATTACAAACTTACAAGAAACCTTAAACAGGAAAAGTGACGTTGGACATACACATACCATTGCAAATATTACAAACTTACAAGAAACCTTAAACAGGAAAAGTGACGTTGGACATACACATACCATTGCAAATATTACAAACTTACAAGAAACCTTAAACAGGAAAAGTGACGTTGGACATACACATACCATTGCAAATATTACAAACTTACAACTAACTTTAAACAGGAAAAGTGACGTTGGACATACACATACCATTGCAAATATTACAAACTTACAAGAAACCTTAAACAGGAAAAGTGACGTTGGACATACACATACCATTGCAAATATTACAAACTTACAAGAAACCTTAAACAGGAAAAGTGACGTTGGACATACACATACCATTGCAAATATTACAAACTTACAAGAAACCTTAAACAGGAAAAGTGACGTTGGACATACACATACCATTGCAAATATTACAAACTTACAAGAAACCTTAAACAGGAAAAGTGACGTTGGACATACACATACCATTGCAAATATTACAAACTTACAAGAAACCTTAAACAGGAAAAGTGACGTTGGACATACACATACCATTGCAAATATTACAAACTTAAACGTTAGCCTTGAAAAGAAAGCAGATAAAACATATGTCAATGAAATATACCAAAGTTTGATAGGAACAAAAAAATATTGAAACTATTGTTGGTGACTTTTCTGTCAATGAAGAAAATAAATATTTTAGATGGCAGTTGGTACAGTCCTTAAAAATGGTACACGGTGTAAACTCATTCCGAAAAATAACAATGAAATGTATGTAAGCTATAAAAAGAATGATGGTACACAAGTTAAAGTTCCATTAGACAACAACTGCTACTTAAACTTATATGGAGACGAACAAAAGAAATATTTAAGAGTTTATGAAATGGCAGATATGACATTGCCTGACCCAGCTCCAGCACCACATTATTATGACTATGGAGATGACGACAGAACACCACATGTAGATGAACAAAAGCTAACATTATATTTAGATTATTATAGATATAAAAGATATAATGCAATAGAAAAAACGAGAATAGTATATTATTATACAGATGACAGAAATAAATATTATAGTCAAGATTTTACCTACCCTGAAAACATAAGATTATATTATAAAAAATATTCTGACACAAACCAGAAGAAACCTGAAATAGCTGCACTATATTTTAAGTTCAAAAGAGACAATCCTATAATATCTCATATGTTTGATTTAATGAACCCAGTAGGTTCTATTTATACATCTATGGATGCAAGAGGTCCTCAAGTAATGTTTGGTGTTGGTGCATGGGAACAAATAGTCGACAGGTTTTTGTATTGTGCAAACTCTTCAAAGGAAACAGGTGGAAGTAAAACGATTTCAGGTGAAAATTTACCTGCACACAGTCATTACATAGATTTAAGTACATCTCAAGCAGGTTGGCATAAGCATAGATATTGGGATTGGTCAGGAATGACAAAAGGTAAAGGATATGATGTTAAAGACGACGTTAAGTTTGCTATAAATTGTTACTGGAGTGACACTCAGGGAGAAGGAAACCATACACATTTCGTTTCAGGATATACGCAAACAACGGGACAAAGTAAAGAATACATGCCACCTTACATGACAGTTTACGCATGGTATAGAATTGCTTAGTCGTCATTTTCAACTTCTTTAGCATATTCGTCAGGAGTTGTCTTATATTTGTTAGGAACTGTCTTTGAAAGTATACCACCTTGAACTTTGACAAGTTTGAAACGAGGTCTGACAATAGTAGTTTTATCTTCTGCTTGCAGTGTGTACATTTTGCCATGTTTGCCTAAAACTTCATAATATTCTCTTGTATACTTTCTTCTATTTTTACGAACACGAATGTGAGTACCTGTCGGGTTCCCATTGTTGTCATAGTCAATAGTATTTTCATATGGGTCGCGTTTAGGTATTTCTATTTTTACTTTGTCACCTTTCTGAAGTTTGAAGCCCGGCATTCTTTCTTGTTTGTCTCTTTTGACTAAATTATTAAATATATAGTCTTTCTCTAAGTCAGGGTTGTTTTTCATTTCTTCGGGGGAGTGGTTTCCCAAACCTTTTTGTTTACGGTTATTGTAAATATTTAAAACTTGTCTCATCTTTGCCATGGAGAAGTGTCTATATTTGTCGTCATATGACATTTCATTTGCTTCACCACCTTGTGGTTGGTTTAAGTCTCTTAACATTTTTATACAACCGTCAATGACACCAAGAGCAGAATGGTTTTGGTCGACAATGAAATATTGGTTTACATTTTTTGAACGCAGATAGTTTTTTACATCATCTGATTTGAAAGAACTTTCACAGTCAGATGTCAGTTTTGTTGGATGGTATTTGTCAACGAATATTGTCAAAGCTGCTAAGATATCTAAAATAGCTTTGGACTGTAATGGTATGGCTTCACAGTATCTTGTGTTTTGACCAACAAATATTAACCAGTATGGTGGTCCATCTGTTCTAACTCTCGGAATGTTTTCCAAGATATCCATAAACCAAGCATTTGGTGTTGAACTAAAGATTTTTATCATGAGTGCTTTCTTTGTCGCTTTAGAAACATAGGGGTCCTTGTTCGGATTCGTCATTTTTTACCATATAAGAAATGGGTTTATTTGGCGCATTAGCAGGAGTTGCATCCAGATTTTTGCCCGCAGTGGGAACAATAGCCAGAGGTGCATTTGGAATTGGAAGGAAGATTTTGAGTACATTAGGTATACTGAAAGAGAAAGCACAACCTATTATACAAACTGTACAGAAAGGTTGGGATGTAGCACGAGATGCAACAAATCTTATTCCAAATCCTGAAACAAGAGGAAAAGTTCAAGGATGGATGGACAATGTAGGAAGACAAGCAGGAAACTATTATAACAAAGCAAACGACTAATATAACCAAGCAGGACACTATATGGACCAAGGTGAAAGATTCTTTAACAGAGGATATAACCATGCACAACAGTGGGTAAACAATAACCAACCGCAACCACCTCAAACGTGGGGAATGTAAAGTTTTTTATTGAGATGAAATGAACAATGCAGCATTGAGACAAATGAGTTCAAGATGGATTTGTCGGCTTCCAGCATTTAAACCGATACCATATAGTCAGGCTCAGCATGTGAAACTGAATGATATTATTAAAGGAACCATCCCACCTCCACAACAACAACCAGTTGAAAACAAACCAAATTAAAATTTTTTACTGAGATGAAATGACCGAAGAAGTTGAAACGGTAGATTTGACACCACAAACAAAAAGTTCAGAACCATTGTCAAAACCTGTCAAAGAACTTACAGATGAAGAGAAAAATTCAATAATAGAAAGTGCCAGGTCTGGAAATACAAACCATAACTATAAAGTCACTTTTCATAGAAATGGAACGGCTAGTATCTCAAAAAAGAAACAGACTCTCACAAATAAAATATTGAAGTCTGAAGGAGCTTTCGAGACAACAGATGGAAGAGTTTACTTCACTGACCAACAGTTCATTATAGAACATCTCATTGACTTAGAGTCGAAATATTCTAAACTTTACAACAAACACAAAAAGTTGAAAGGAAAACAAAAACAAATGGCATATGATATTTATGAAGATGTTGACGACACAACTGTTCCTGCAAGTGAAGTAAAGTCAGAGGAACCAAAAAGTGACGAAAAACCGATAGAAGAAGAAAAACCAAAAACTGAAGATAAACCAAAACCAAAGTTTAGTTTCCAAACTAAACCAAGTCAACCTTCATTAGCTGGTATGGGTTGGCGTCAAAGACTTATGGCAGCAGGCGGTTATGTAAAGTAAAGAAAAAAAATATTTTTTTATTTTTATAAAAATGCCCCCATATAGAATGGACAGAAAGTCTGCTAGAATAAAAGCAGAGTTACAAAGATATGGTTGGAGAGTTTCGAAGAATTTTAAATATAGGAAGGGAAGACCCATAAAAGTCTATGACAAATTGTCTGGTCTTCGCTACGAAATGGATTTGGAAACAGCACGTGCCAATTATCCAAACAGACTAGAGAGGTTAGAAGAAGAACGTCTTATGGACATGCCTTTCGATGTTAGTGAACCTCAAGTTGAAGGACACGACGGCTTTGCCAGATTCTACTGGAAACATGACGAACAATTGCATCCTTTGAGAAGGAAAAAAGGAAAAGGTGAAGACGCACATGCTCCCATGGAAAGAACAAGATATGCATATGAAAAGTATCGTGAAGTTAGAAGTCAAATTACATCTGGTCGAACCTTTACAGTAAACTTTGACGAAGGAAAGAACAAAGAAGGCTTCATGGGAGTACTTGCTGCCATACAAGACGGAAATAAGAAAGGACACAATCTCAGATTGACCATAACAGATTTGGATGGTCACATTTACTATGCACATGGCAATGAACAAACAGCCGCAAAACTTCTTGACGCTTTCAAGACTACAAAGAGAGAACAAATGGTTGACTCCGACTCAGACATTTTGAATGCAATTGAAGGAATTGCAAGTGTCATGTTCGAATGGTACCAACCTAACCCTCAAGCAGTCAGACAACATGCTGGATACTTCCCGTTCATAAATAAGTCTGACATTGACTTGACAAGGTATGGAATTTACAATTCAATTGAAACAATTGTCAATGAACCTTGCATTCTTACATGTCTCAGGAACTCTGGTCTTGTTTCAGAAGAGAAGATGAAGTATCTTGAGTCATGTGTGAAGACAAGGTACATTCTCAGAGGTCAATTGGCAAAAATTGCACCGTTGGCAAATGTCAATATCCGAGTCAACATACCTACAGCTAAAGGTTCTTCACATGACGACTATGTTGTTGACAAAGACTTACCATGGTTGAAGATTGTAATTGTCCACAACCACTTCATGTTGAACGAAAGTCTTACAAACCCATTCTTTGGTAAAAGTAAGTGCAACATTGTCAGAGCTGTTAACATTCTTTTCGAGAAAGGTTTGTTGGAACCAATTCCAGATGACAAGCTGACAGAAACTTTTGTACCAAAAGACGAAACAAACTTTTCATTGTTAGCAAGACCAAAAGTTGTTCCAGACAAAGTTCTAGTACAAAGAAGTACACAGTTCCACAAGGGTTGGTATGTTCGGATACCAACCTGAACCAGAAGAACTTCCAATGAGGTTGCAAGAACTTCAAGATGCTATAAACAAACTTCCATTGAGACATCCAATTGACGTCAAATTGTATTGGAGAGCATCTGAGTTAGGTCAGAAGGTTTTATATGAAACAGGTTGCTTCGACGATGTTTATGAGATAACAGGAGAAGTTTCTCAGAAGATAAGAGACTCACTTGAATTTCCACAAACTGGACCAATTGGTTGCGACAAGTTCGACTCAGATGAAAAAATATACTATTTCGACCTTAACGCTGCATACATGAGGTTTGTCCAATATATTCCGACTGGAATTCCAAACGAAGATGGTGAGTTCCTGGGAAGGAACTATACAGTTGGAAAAGTCATACAACAACTGTATGATATTAGGAAAGCTTCAAACCCCAAACTTGCAATGACACTCAAATTGCTTATGAATTCGACATGGGGATATTCCATTAAGAAACCTCAAGAGATGAAGAGTAAACATTATGAGAAGGTCGACAACTTTGTTGAAAGGTTTTCTCCTTTTGTTTTGAAGTAC